AGTTAATTGCTGAAGATGAAAAAATTTTATTCATCCTTTCACTCCCAAGATCTCATTAGTAAGTCTCCTTACTTGGGAGAATTTGGTATTAGATCAATGTTCTAATAATTAATCCCCTCACTGATATTTTTCTTTATTCTCATCACTTGTCTGCATGATATTGTATTGATGTTGTAACTGGAAATTTCATCTTGGTTATTTATGGGAGTGTACAAGTTGAGCTGTGGGAAACAAATGCTATGGTGTAAGAGAAACTGACATGCTTTCTCATATTTCCTTTTTTAATCTAAAAGAAAGAATTGCACGGTGGCCAGTTTTCTGACTAGTGTTACAGTATAACAACCATATCGGAGGAAGTGATTAGGGCAGCATGTGAGAAGACCCTCTACCATTAAAAGTGTCTCCATCTTGATAATCAGCTTAGCAACTATATGTTATCAAAAAATGTACCACAAAGTACAAAAATTAACTTTTAATGGCAACACATACATTGATCCATCTCTTATACATAATTAGGTACTAAATAATTTTAAACATAACTTACAAAGCCATCTAGATCTTGGTGAACAATCTGACTGAATGTTTCAAGGCCTGAAAAAAAGAAAACATGTTACACCTAAATAGTAATCTCCTAACTTGACCCCAGATCTCATTCAATATTAATTTTCTTCAAGCTGTGAGACATTTGGTCAACAAAATAATATCCTCTAAATGAAACCCTATCCTGTTTCCCAGGTGATGAATTGCTACCTGGAATATGAGTTTTTAAAATCACCTCTGGAAAACACTAGTACTCATCACCCAGGATTTTCAACAAGAAAAGAAAGGCAGGAGATTATTAAACATAGATAACAGGATAACTTATTACATAATGGCTCAATATCTGAATAAAAGACAGCTCAGGCAATCTAAGTCCAGCCAAAGAATTTAGCTTAGAAACTGAAGAATAATCCAACCCTATAAATGCTAGATAAAAACTCTGGGCACCAAATGAGAGATGGAATTTCTCACTGTTTCCTGTGTATTTCAGCAAGTTATTGTACAAAAGTATAGTAAACCTATAAAATAAAATTCTCCTCACACAACCCTGCATGTAAACATCTCATGGACTCAAAAACCTTACCTCGCAGTGCTCCCCACACAGTATAGGCAAAAATGGAGGACGTTGGAGCTTTAACTTCCAGTTTATCTGAGGAAAAAGAAATTGTTGACCAAAATGTAAAATTTAGAAACTGTCATGGACACTCTATTATAACCTATGTAATCAAGCCTAAATTCAACACCACACCCATTACATAAAGCTACTTTTAGTCTTCTCCAGACAAAGAAAAAAACTGATTCCCAATGGAAAACTGAACTTCAAACCTTCTGATTCTTCACTGTGATGTACACCTTTAGTAAGGCATCTGACAAAGTGCCAAATCTGAAGGTCAGAGGTTCCATTCCTCATGAGGATTCCAAATTAACAGTACATTTAAAAGCCCCACTGACTCCTTCAGCTAATGTTAGTAAGTCATTCATACTTTTAAAAATCAATTCCTACCAAGATCCCTTCCCTTTGAGACAAGAAGAGATTTAAGGCCAAATGGTCACTGTGAAGGTGGCGAAGGGTCTACACGTGACATAATTAAAACCCAAAATTCATGAGATGAATTTTTAAAGAAAAGCAAGGTTACTGGTAGGTGTGATTTGAAGTTTTTTAAAGTACATTACTGTGATGCATGAATTTTACTTAAATTTGTGCCCCACTGCCTGACCCTCTTTGTTACTGCTTTACTGTTTATTCTGAGCTGGACCATTTGTTTTATTTATCTGTGGTTTCAATGAAGATATCTGGTTTACAATATAAGAAGACCAGACTGGAGCCAAGATTGCTTTCAAATGCATCAGATATATAATGAAATGTCTTATTCTGCCTCCTTGACAAAGCTTATTACTTGTGCTAAATGAACTGAAGGTCAGTTAGCACTAATCCAAGGAAATCTTTCAATCATGACTTCATTATTCCTTTGTTTAAAAGCCTATTGAGATAATTTTTACTTAATTATTTTAAGAGCATCCGATCATCAACTTGTGGACAGAAAGAATTCTTATGAAGTTTCATAAAAAGCTTTAAGATCTGAAATCAGATTTCACACTAACCCTGGGTTATTTTACCCAGCTTGAAAACTCTCAAATATATAGCTACATGAATCATAGTGCCTAATTTCATTCTCTAACAGTTTCCAAAAATGGACTTATCATGTGAGTGTCTGTTAGAATAGAGTCTTACTCTTATTATGTCATAGACTGAAAAACATTATTGTCCCTGACTGCTCAAAATGTTGCAGCGTAAATATCAACCTGGCCGAGTTGACAATCTTTTGGGTAACCATGTCTTCAATTGATCTGCCCTTATGCAATGCAACTGGTAACAACAGGTGGAAAACAAACTCAGAGCAGGTTTATTACATAGCTGTTTAAAATTCGCATATTGATTACCATCCACTTCCGAAAACCATCTCAACGAGACTGAAAGTATGCAGCGGTGTGAAGCAGAAATATCGAAATATTCTGCGAACCCTTTTGCTTTACATTAACAGGGAAGAAAAACAAAAAGGAATTCTACTTCAATAATATTTAAAAAAGGCACGAACCACGCTGAGGAACTATGAGACGAGGGGATAATATTATCATAACAAACCGATAATATCAGAAACTATGAGAATTGTTCGCATTTTGCACTTTACTGTGTCGTTGACGAGAACTTTCAGATATACAACTATTAAGCAGCATGAAAGACACGAAACATCTTTGATTTTCCACTAATGACTAGAGAATTACGGGCGTTGAATAATCTGTGTGTTCCACAATAATTAGCTACGCCTCTCTAACAAGTTCGTATTATTTGCGAGTCACAGTCAAATTAAAACACAAACGAAATTCCTCTTCGATCAGACACGAGGCGACATGCTTTATTCCTGCCTGGGAAAGAATAAATAAGTCTACTTACAAGATTCGTCGGAATCCAGAGTGAGATTTTCATACTTGTCAACCACATCAACAGTTAGCTTAGTAATTTGGGACAAATTCTTCTTCGATACGCTCACATTGTCTGGGAATGTTAACACTTTATAACGTTCGACGGCTTCTTTGAGAACATCGCTGCTCTCACCAGTGATAGAAAACTGAAAATTCTCCGGCGTCAACTTATACACAGCACCTGAAGGAGTTTCTCCTTGAGGTTTAGGCCACACGGAACCTTTCACATAATCTTCGACTTGCAATTCTTGAAGTTCCCATCCAAGTTCTCCAAAAGGATCAGAAAGTCTTACAACTCTTTTAAAAGAAGGAGATGCAAGGCATACAACAGCAACAAGAAGAAGACAAACGAACGAACGAAGCATGATGCAAAAGTAATCTTCGATCTGCTCCCGTCCCAATATTGTCATGTGATTTTTGTCGAAAGTGATGTAGCCGCAAAACTAACGACAACTTTCGTTTAGCCTTGTCACGCCATGCATTCGTACAGCGTGACAGAGGTTGGGGGTGGAGGTTCCTCAACTTCCGCTATACACGAAAACATAGGAAATGTTATAATACTCTCCGGTAGATTGTTTAAGTCAATAACAATACAATACAAGTGTTCTTTTATCAGTTAAGAGCTGTCTTTCAATGAAATCGCTTATTTTTGATTCCTTCAGTGAGGCGACTGCCACTTACTCTGAAGAAACAATCGCTTCTTTCCGTGTTCTCAATGTGAATTGTTCGGTATCTGAGTCTTTGATGAAAATGTATGGCTTTTATCTGATCTTATTATCAATATTCTCAATGCCAAAGTATAATTTTTATTTTCTTTCTCTTGCCATATCCATCAGCTTGAAATGATTCATCTTGACAGCAGGATCTCTTTTTCAAAATGAAATAAATGAGGTCATTCTTTCTCAAATTTGAACAATATTTCAGACCTTTTTGAGCTGCAATGAAGCGCAATTCGAATAATTTCTTTGCCTTCAAATCTGTATCTTCAATGGTAGAATTTTACTCTATTATCATTTTCATACCTAGAAAATTATACTGCAGCTTTGCTGTCCTATTAGCTGTTTAGAATATCAACAATATGATGTAGATATTATTGAACTTCTAGAACAATTACTTAATGTGATTTAAAGCACATTTCCTGCTCAGTTATACAAAAGAGAACGGTTTTTGGAACATTTGTTAAAAATTATTTAGTTCCTTTCATTAACTTATAGACACACTACTGCAAGCACCCAGGCTTCTTTCATGTAAATAAACTTGGTCAAATTTTCTCACCTTTGTTTTCACCACTGAATCATTATAGACACTTGAAGTGAAGTGAAGAACTTTGTATAAGATATCACAATAATCAAACATGTTGCCCCCCCAAAAAAGTCAAGTATACCTAATGACTAAAATTTTGTGTGACATAACTCAGGTTCCAGGCAACATAACTTCAGTGAGATGACTAGACAAAGTTGTCAGGGAAGAACGATTTAATGAATCTTGCGTTATGCCAACCAACAGCTTGTTCAAACTTATACAGAGTATTGAGATATTAAAACTGCACTGCAAAAGCCCAGTGTTTACCTGTACAGCATATTCATCTTTTAACTTACCTTTCAGTCAACTGAATTTATATTGATCAGGCAGGGTAAGGTGTAAGGGGTAAACAAATGAGCACTGCCAATTAATGTGATCATGTTTCACTGAGAGAGAAAAGCAGAACTGATCTTTCTTCATCTCTTGACTATGAGCAAAGCTAGATTTCATCAATAGTGAGAATGTACTGCAAGCCTGCATCCCTGAAAACTTTCATGTGGTGTTTTACCTCTTGGTGGTTGAATCTTAAGGGCTATTGAAGAGGTTTGATGAAGATTTCTTTTTTCAGAGAGCTGTTTGCAAATTCCAAGAAGTACAAGTACAATGCTCAAACATTTGAGCATTATACTTGTTAATTACCATTAAACATATAATCTTCACACCTTTTTTTTTTCCTTTTCTCTATTTTTCGATACCTTAAATTTGAAATAAACCTCAAATCTGAGCAAATTACATGAAGGCAAAGTTATCAGACAATATCATCAAAGTATTTCCATAACTGTCAAAATATCTGGTGATGGATTTCAGACAGATACATCTATTAATTAACAGGTACCACCCTCAGATGAAAATTGTGTTTTGTTGATACAACTGCAAGCTACATATGCAAGAAGTTGAAGAAAAAATAGGAACAAAAGCAAACATATGCTTTCTGCTAGACCTTCTCAAGCACCAGTTCATTTGCTCTAACTCCTGTTTAACCTCTTAAACCCTGAGAGTGACCAGCATGTAATTTCTCCTTACATTAATACTGCTGAATCATTCATTAAGATCAGGAGAATAAAGGAAATGATTGCTAACCTAACAAGCTTTGATTTTTAAACATATTCTCCACATCAGCAACAAAGGTAGTGTATAGAGAAGATTAAGGAGAATATAGACACTGATACTTGGGTGTAAAGGGTTTAAGAAGTTTTGGAGGAAATATTATCTCAGCAAGTCTGAGCAGTATAGGATACCATGTACTAAAGAATTTTAACAACTGCGAGCTTTCTAAGCCTCACATTGTGTTGTCCCTTCAACGGTTTACATTTCCACTGTGATTAAACTTGCTGAACATTTTACGAGGTCAGTTATCTAATATACAGTTTACATTTTGGTCAAGTTTGGATTCATGTTAGTAATCATGGTGTGTCTGCCGTGAAAAGAGTCTGTAAATGTTAAAGAGGCTTCCTCCGGCAGTCTTGAACGCCATTACTCCCATAATTACCATGGTGATGTATGCACACACAAGTGAGGCAACATAGTGATAATGAGCATTCAGAAGCGTCTGTTAAGAAAAACAAAACAATTAGTCAATAACTGAAACAGACTTAGCAGCAATAATGGCTGACTTCCACAGAGAAAATTAAAAGTTGCAGAGTTTCTAGCATTTTGTTTTTCAACAATTTCAAAAAGTGAGAGTAACCTAAAAATACTTTCAACATGATTAAACAAGGCTATCAAGGGATCCACAATTATCTAATTTCTTCACATGTTTATTCAAACAATTTTCAACATCTTTTACAATAAAGTAAATTGGATAATGTTATCAGCCCTTTGAAAACTGGGCCCTGATCAATTGTAGCCTTCAATTTCTGCATTTTTTGTTTAATTAGTAAATGTAATTAAGCTACAAGGATCTATGAATCCATCTCCATGATTCAATTCAGATCATAATTATATTTACTGTTATTGTCATTAGAGTATAGAACCATTCACATACAATAAGTGATACAAAAAGGTGACTGGCCACAACTAGAATGATGTTGATCCAATTCTTGTGATCCCAAGCATTGAACCATATTACTCCCCAAAATGTATTCAGCAGAACAAAACAGGAGGTCAAGAAAGCTGCAAAAGAGAAAAGGTTGTAAAGAAACTCATAAAATTTGTATCAATTTTACACATTTATTTAGTACATTACAATGAATAAAAAGTAATGTTCAGTGCTATTATAATATGTTACAACTACTAATGAAACATTCCTGTCAAAAACAACAGCAGGGTTTTAAGTCATTTTTGTCCTGTGCTAATACATGTATAAAACAACTAATTTTTGGCATGATTTTTTTTTTTCCTTCAGTTGGGTCTACGCCTACTTTTGGAGTTTGGACTTTTGTTAGGTCAAGAATAATGAAACAACAGTATCAGTTTTGATACAAAATCACTAAAAGCACCTTCACTTTACTGAAACAATCTACAGTGTAGTTAGGAAACTGAGCTCCCATCACAGGGTATCCCCAAGACTGAACACTTCCCAAGAGCAAAATTTACTTATGACTCTTCTTAAAGCAATTTTCTAACATAACAGGTTATGAATATGAAAGCGATCTTCACAGTAATGAACACTACTTGAACAGTAGTGAAAATAAGGCCTAACTTTCATATATTCACAGTCATTTATTCATCGCTTCACGGGTTTATTTGAAACCAACATAACAACCAGCTCCCAGTTGGCTTGTTAGCTCAGTTGGTAGAGTGCTGCATGGGTATCGCAGAGTTCATGGGTTCAAATCCCGTACAGGCCTGAAATTTTTTTCAGGCCTTATTTTCACCACTGCTCAAGTAGTGTTCATTACTGTGAAGGTCACTTTCATATTCACATCTTTATCTGCAGTTCAAATATATGACTTTCATATATTCACAGTCATTTATAACAGGTTATGTTCAAACCTAATCAAATTAAATTTGTGCATGCATGAAAGACAATCATCACTTCTAACTAATTTTCTATTCGACAACATTCATTCCAAAACTCAAATCTTGCTTTATTTTTCAACCATCATAAGTAAACTAAATGTTTGCAACAATATAGAAACAAGTAATTCAACTTTCAACTTGTATAGGATGAATATCATTTTGTGAGTTAACAACTCCAACCTGACAGAAAATTTGAAGAATTCCCAAACTTCTAGAATGAAGGTCTCTCTCAAAATTTATACTTAATGTGCTGAAAACTTATAACAATACTGTTCTCATTCCACTCTATTTAACACCTGTAATTGTGAAACTTTTAACTGAATGAAAAACAACCATTTCTCAAAATAATACTAGATTTGACTTTTATCAACACGACAAATCAGAGATCAGTAAACTTTTCGGCTCTATCATAAACTGATGCACATTCTATGTTGTATGTGTAACACTTACAGTTTTAATGTATGCAACTTACCTGAGACAATTAGGAAGTTTTGAGGATCACCATTTAACCCTAATGACCCAGGGCCTGTTATGTCTGCTAATACATTCACCATGGCAAATAATCCACTAATAATACCATAGCCAAGACCAGAAACTGAAAGAAGGAGCAGAAAACAGCTTTTATTTTTTTTCTCTTTGTTCATTCAAATTAAACTAAATAAAGAATGCAACATAAAAACAATGTGTTGTATTCTATGAGACAAAATCTGAGTAACACTCCAGACCAAATGAATATACTCTTTCACTGATTCAATGATTTTTCTCATAAGAAATCCTATTAATCCCTTTGACCTCGAAGAGTGAATAGATCTGAATTTCTCCTTATATCAATTATCATCCCTGAATCAAACATTGAGGTCACAAGAATAACAAAATGATCATAAATTAAAGAAGCTCTTTATTTTTCAAAAAATTGTTCACCTTGTCTACAACTCAAGAAATGTTTAGAAAACATTATGGAGAGTGCAAATGTTAAGGTTAATTAGTACATGATCAAAAATAGGGAATCTAACCATATGCAATCCTGTGTTTCCTTAGTGGTGTCTGGTTGTTGATCATTGAAAGGAGACCTTCATCTGCTTTCCTGAATAATCCAAAAAAGACATGTATCCTTTGTTTCACATCAAAACCCATTTCAACAACATTACGCATGGATACCATCTTTAGTGACTGTGGTCTAAAATCATACTTAATATCTAAAATTGAACTAGCCCCACATGCTCACTTGATTTAAAAATCACAAATGCGATTTCTGACCAGATTTGACCAAACTGCACTCCATTCAGTTCAATTACTAGCACTATTATTACTCAGCAGTAACCAATTCTCTGAATTGATTTATATGGAAATTTATAAAAACTACAGAGGGGAATTACAAAATAGACCTTGAGTGTTAGAGGGTTTGCATGTTTATGGTCAAATCACAATAGTTTAATCCATGTTGGATATTATAGCACTGATAAAAAAATTTACCTAGTTGCTATGGTTCCATTTATTTCTTCAATTTAGAGAATATTTTTTCCTTACCTCATCAGTTTATAGAAAGCCAATCTAAAGAGTTCTTGAAAGATAACTGAAAATGCAATTCCAAATGCCAGCTGCTTCTTTAAGGGAGACACAACAGTCCACCAGATTGAGGACAGCAGTAGTGACAGTAACCAGAAGAAAGCACTGGAAAACAAGATTTATTTACCAAATGATTTGTATTGGTAATCACTACCTAATGTAAAGGAAATACAGTTTTAAGTGAGACTATGGGAACTTTGAGAGACAAATGTTTCTCTAAATTTATCTGACCCACAAAACAAAAGCAATTGTGATGAAGGACCAATAAAGGGTATTTCCCTCCAAGATTAAACTTTTTCAGGGTTAAACCTGGACATCAAGGCTGGTAGTCAAAACTGGGTTTAAAAACATGACAGAATTTTTTAAAAGAATTTGGAGTATGCATCTGCTTATCCTGGAGTAGGGGAGAGGGGGGGCTGAAGCTGCATGTTATTACAACAAGCAAAACAAACTATGCATGGAAACATTTAGACCGGCTTTAAATAACTTTCCCAAGAATTTCATGATATCTATCAGGGAAAAAACACTACAAAAATAGAATTGTTCTATTTTTAATGAAATCACCAGATTATTTTCAGGGGTATCCAGATTTCCTTGATCAGGAATCGGTAGGTCTTTCTGGTATAACCGATCAATGGTCCAACAGCTCTTGAAGAATGACAGAGAATGTAATTGAACATGGTCTGTACAAATTTCTTCAATAGCTCAGAATTTTGGAAGGACAAGACCCCATGCCGTCATTAAAAGAGAAATCATAATACTTAAGATTTTTTTAAGATTTTTCAACCACAATTTGATTTTGACTACAGCTTTGTATCCTATTTTTTATAATTATGTTAACGGTTGATGTCGAGGGTTAAACAGAGTGAATCAAACTTCAATGACGTCTTCTTCACAAATAAATTTTCCATAAGTATTGGTGATCAAACTTGAAGTACGAAATAAGGGTGAAGTATTAAAATAAGGCTTTCCCCAATCTGAGCAATACACAAAGTTAAGGAACACATGATCATAACCTAAGTGGCTTACCTTGCAATCAACACAATCACTTGCTGAGCATCTTTAGCTACAGTGAGGGAAAACAGCGCCAATGCTGGTCCAAATGCTATAAAAGCGCACCCAAAGAAAACCATAAGAGTCATGTCGACGAGAATAACGTGAACAGAAACGAAGATAGATTAAACTTTTCTCTGGAATAATTCTAAGACAAAAGTTAATAAGCTTTTTCCGCCATATTGGTCCAATGACGTCATATGACGTTTACATCGATACTTCCTCGTAAATGTCGGAAGTTGCCGAAGATATTCGGAATAAGCCGTGTCACATGAAACAGCGGCGAACCTGCTAAATGTAAATAAATATTCACTGAGGAAAAAACAAAAGATCACCATTGCCGGTACGTGGAAGTCTCTCTTGCATTTCCATGACTCTTCGCCGGTAGATAATGGAGTCTAAAAGCCACGAACATTGCGACAATTGTGTAAAGCTCTACTGTAGTTCTCAAAATGGCTGCAAGATGTTATTTTGTGAATTCGGATGCACCGCACAACTTCACAGCTGTAAAATGAAAGACCACCAGAATGTGTGCCAGAAATGTCGAATTCCATGTATAAATTCAGAGTACGGATGTCCGGTTGTGATGACAAGGGATAGCCTGAGAAACCACTTACAGCGGTGCCCAGCAAGTGTGATTTTTTGTACAATGGAGTGGAATAGATATCCAGTGTATTCCAAATCTCGGTTAAGTTTGGTGCCTTTCTTTCAACCGAACCCGATTCTAGTAAAAGGGCATCTAGATGTGGAGCTGGCCTTCAGGGATCAAAGAATACTTCAGGAAGTATTCCGAAGGCGTTGTAGAAAAGGGAAAGCAAAAGTAGACATGTTAAGATCGTCCTTACAGAAAGGCACACCGAAACAGCATGGTAGCGGAACCCAACCATCGACTGTGAAATCGGATTCTGTCAAAATGGCGATGGCTTTAGCAATGTCTTCGTTAGAAAACAAGTTTCGTAAACAACGAGGTGAAGGACAGATTTCTAGCGGAGATCTCGAGGATGAAAATTCACTTAACAACGAAACCCATAACGAAAACCGAAATATTCTCAGCGATTTGCTTTCTGGAAGTGAAAAACTGGAAAATGAAGGTGCTGATTATGTTAATCCTGATGTTAACCCAGTTGATATAGAGCTACATCCGTTGCAAGGAGCAGAAGATGAAAGTAGTAAAGGTGACAAGGCCTCTGTTAGTTTCCTTGACAACAGCGTACCGCCTCCTCCTGCCCATCTGCCAATCTACCTCGACGAACCCCTGGGTTTGAATGTTGTGGTTGAAACCCTCCCCAAGTTCCAGAAACAGTCTCCAATGTATTCCATACCCTGCAACCAGGTATTCCGCCGTGATGAGTACAGTGGCCATTTCAAGAATGTTCATAGTGATATTCAGGGAGGGCTGAATGGTTGGTTGGAGCATCGGTGTCCTCTTTCGCAGTATGGCTGCACATTTGTGCGCTATAGGCTTCTGCCTCACAGCCAAGATGGAGCTGTAACCTTCAATCAAGAGCTTGGAAGCTTTGGCATCAGACCATATGAGCAATCACCTCTAGTAAACACTTCTTGTTGTACAGCAGAATATTCTCAAAGTCAGATACAAGACACCACTGGTCCCACAGGGGAAATTGCTCCAAATCAAACGCAGATGCATACAACATCTAGTTTGGATCTGCTGACATCTTTGCCCCTAGATATCTTGGCGAAGATAGCTGGCCAACTGGATGGCTTCAGTCTGTGTAACTTCTCTTGCACATGTAAGTTGCTGAGGGAGGTTTGTATGAATGTTTTGGAAACAAAAGGTATGGTACTATTTGAATGGGAAAAAAGAATCTATGATGATGGAAACTGGTCTTGGAAGATAAGACAAAAGGTGGGTGTTAAGTATTGCATGAACCTCATCTATGACTTATAAGGTTCATTTAGTAATTTAGTTTGTATGTATAGTCAAATGGTTACTCTGGCAACATGTAAGTTTGCAAGTAAGTAGTAAAGTTTCATGTCTTTTACATGGTGTAAACTAGAAAGCCCAAGCTGTAGTAAAGTTTTATTTCAATTTTAGTATCACATCTCTCACTTAGTACATTCACTATGATTGGTCAATCTAGTGGGCTATATTAGATAAACATAAGGCTCATTAAACTTAAAATATTTTTGAACTGAAATCTTCTCCCTCTATCTATTTGATAAATATTTTAATAAACTTGTTTTCTTGCTCCTTAATGTAAGTTACGGAACCTCATTTTTTTGTTTGGATTTATAACATGCGCGCTATGCACCTGGGCCTGAAATCCATGCAGGAAAACTCTTGGTCTGTTGCTTACAGTACAGACCTCAAACTCAGTTAACAAGAGGTATATAATTTGTCTTATGTGAAAATTAAGGTTACTAATCCTGTTTGAGGAAGTGGTGGGGAAAGGTTATTTATTTTGTGCAATAATGGTCTTGTTTTCTTAAGAACTTGTAGCTAACAAAATATCTATAGAGATTAAGTCTAGCAAAGTAAGCATAGCTGTATGTATTTTCAACTTCTTTGTAGATGAAATCATTTTGTTTTTGATGGGTGCATAATACTGTGCATTAGGTTAGGAAATGCTTCTGCCACATCAGTATTCCAAGAGGGACAACAATTGTGTTTTCTTTAGAAGTGATTTGCTGGTATATTTTGCAACATGCTCAACTAAATCAATTTTAACTAGGACTATCTAAATATATAAGTGACTTATAGTATTTTTCTTGGTGAAAAGCAGCTGTAGTAACTGTATAGAGAGTTAAAGGAACTAATTTTAATAACAACAGTCTACTTTCTATTTCAGCGATGGTATTTTTCCACCTCATTTTCACCAGTTGAAAAGTGGGTGCATTCTAACTCACCATTCATGGCAGCACATCTAGAGAAGTGCCAATACTTTGACCACAGAAAAGCATCAAATCAGTTTAGTTATTGTTTTGTTCAGCCTGGTCATGAAGGAAACAGTAACAATCATGATAACCATAAAGACAACAGTGAGATAGGCCTCGAATATCACCCTGGCCATGAGGATAGTAATATTGATCAGATCGTCCTTGAATGCAAGATGAGTGATGAGAATGAAACTGACACAGAGACAGAAACAGAAACATCATCATCATCCAATTCAGAGCCAGAGGTACTTGATGCAGAGAATTGAACCCAAATACTACTGCATAAACTTGGGAAATCTTATCAATAATTAGTGAAATTTATATTAAACAAGTATGATAATCAATATTGGGTAGTGTATGACCCTATGTGTACTAAAATTTAAAAAAAAAAATTTATATTGCACTGAATGCAAATAATCATTGATTTTACAATTTTTTATCAGAAACTTTGAAATTACTTCAAATTTTGGTGTGGCTGTCATTTTAGCAGTATTGATTTAACTCTCTTGCTTGAAGTTAGTACGTTGGATAATATTTGTTTTTTTGGGAGGAGTTTTTAGGTAATTGGGTCATGGAGTTGACAAGAGAAGATGGATGGTTTTTAACTGACAAGCACTGTGTTTGTGGGAAGTAGTGAGGGTAATCTTTTTTGTTAACAAAGATATACTGTTGTATAGTGTATTCATGAACACATTTATTTTTTCTGTCTTCCATGACCTGTTAGAAAGTAAGAAAAGAGTTTGAACCTGAGTTGACATCGTCATCTGAGGTTACTGTAGTTTTCTTGTTTGTTTAACCCTTTTGCTCCCATGAGTGATCAAGATAGAATTTCTCCCAACAATATCAATTCAATATCAAGCAGACAGGTGATGAGAATAAAGAAAAATATCAACTATAAGACATTCATCTTAAACCAAATTCTCTAAACCAACATCATGTAATAACTGCATGGAGGAGAGTGAGGAGAAGCACTAATGCGATCTTAAGAGTGAAATGGTTCACCTTTTGGTGGATGGATTACAAGGAGTTTTATCTTATTTTAATCACCAAATTCTCCCAACTTATTTTAGGTGGGTTATAGTGGAAAGAAAGGAGAATCACTGACCGGATCTTGATATGTGAGGGGTCAGAGTAATGTGAGATTAATTGACAGTTATTAGTATTATACTATTCTTATTTTATATAGGGAAATCATTTGAGAGAAATTATATTAGAATTATCAAGGTAAATTATTTTTACCATCTCAAGATATGTTTGATATTTAAGATACTTCACAAAGAGAAATTAAGATATACATGCTAGTATTTTCATTTCAAAGACAGTTTTGTACATTTGAAGGTTTGGGGGTTCAATATATCTAAGCATTGAAATATGAGTGGAATAAACAGCTAGAAAGCCTGAGATCTTTGCAGAAACAGAAATAGGTCAATGTTTTTTTCCAATTTTCTGGTTATATGCAAACAAAATAAAAAAAAGCTGGGAAAGATTTCTTGGTCAGTTTTTTAATTTCAGCATCTGGCTGTTCTGCCCCCATACCCTCACTTAAAGTATCATTATTTATTATAATTTGGTCCACAGACTTGGTATATCAAAATTAAGCTTTTAAGTTATTGAAGCCTACAGAAAACAGTTGAAAGAAAAGGACAAGCTAAAGATACTTGTTTTTACTCCAGTTTTTACAGCTCCTCTCAACCATTGGTTAGATTTTTCTCCAGCTTCTCAAGGGAACAAGAGGCGACTGAAATAGAAAAATTCAGGTGCTGTGGATAAGGTTGGGCTCTGGGTACTTATTTCGATTTAAGGTACATGTTACTAATGCAAAGTTAACTGAAACAAGAGTATTGAATGAGAAATCTGCTTCACTGAATGTTTGTGTATTATATAAAAGTTGCGTTTTTGTCATCATCCATAAGAAACCTGATTTGGGTCTCATTCCCAGGTTTAGGCATGTGTCAGTATGTTGCTAATTTTCTTCAGGGGTACTCCTGTAAACTAAGTCAACCTGGAGTTAGAGTTTGCATGTGTCTTGTAAGAGCCTGCTTTATTATCAAGCTGGAAAATAAATGGAACTAAAAATAATGCAACTTTTATTTTCAATATTACTGAGTCTAGATCAGTAATTGGGAAATCAGTTGATACCTGGTAGGGGTGAAAAGGAATCTTGCTCACACCCACTGAACAATATTCTGCTAAACAGAAACTAAAGGTAGTAAATTTTGAGCTTGTTAATGAAATAAAGAAGGATGGTTTTCAGCCTTTCTTTTAACATTTTCATTGGTACTTTGTCCATGTTTTTAGAAATTTTATGCCAAATACCCCTATTACTTTTTTTAGGTCATGAGTAATCATGTTCCTGGTTCTCTCTTCATCCACCTGTCTTTTCTCCCCAAGGGGGTGGAGAGATGACACACTCAGGGGTAGGGGGTCCCCCCTCCTTAAAAAATATTGCTGCTTTAAACTAATAAGTTAATAAGTTTGAAGTATTCAACTTGCTTACACTGATTGACTGTATTCCTACAATCTGCACATGTACCTGCACAGTGGTGCGCGTGAATATTGAATATTGTTATGAAGGAGAATTACAGAACCATTGGGAAACACTGTGCAAGCTTATTTCATTGCAAGTGAATTGCAAAAAAATTGCTGTTTGAACTTCTTTCATTATCTCACTATTTCCTGTTTAAATCACTACAACTATACAATATAATTACAGCAAAGGCATTTGCTCTAAATCTTTTGAGAATGAGTTCTGTGCACTGATCTCACTTCCAGAATCTCTACCCCAGCTGTTACAAATGGGCAAGACTGTGAGGCGAGGGGGTGGAAAGGGAATCTGAGAACGAGGTTATCATTGGCACCAACTCTCGTTGGGTTTTCACTGTCCTTTTTTCACTGTACTCTGACTCTCTAAGTCAAAAGCTTTGAAAAGTTAAAATAAGATCCTATGGAATAGAAATGGAAATTTTTCAAAGAAAATCTCGTTTCCCAGAGACTAGTCAGTCCTTCCTCTTTGTACCGTCTTCAAGGGCTTTCTTAGTACCTACTTTATTACACAAACGGGAAACAATATCGTGGGGGGCTAAATTTGACTACTTTTGGCGGACTTTCATCTTAGTTCATACATAAACTTCGACCGATGGGAACTCTCTCGTGCGCCGCTAGTTTAATTCTCTTTTTACAAATGTGTCAGTTGAGGCTGTAATAGATTCAATTTTTCCACTGCGCGTGAAGAATGGTGAGCAGGCGCAAGCTTACGCCGATCCGCAGGCATCAGGGATGCTGGGCGCAAGAAATTAACCGTACCATAAATGTGAAATGAAATAAATACATTTATTAGAAAGGTCTATTTTATCTTACAAAGGCTTAGAGTGCGAGCAGTGCCTCTTAAATTCAGCTTAGATCTTCACGCACGTAATACGTAATCAGCGAGAAAATTACATCGTAATGGTGCAACCGCTGAGAGTTGCAGGCGCAGCTCAGAGTTTTTTTCCCGTTCGCTGATCACTTTCGACGCGCAAGAGGAACTGCCAGCAGTCTAAAAAAGACACGGTACCTACAAAAATATTTAAATGGGTCAATAAATACACGACGCATCGAAAATTATTATCTCTAAGATCCAATTAACCCGCTGTTCTCAGCATAATACACTTTTCGCAAGACCTATACTGTATAAAAATACGGTTAAGGCAGCATTTTGAAAGTTTTAGTTTATATTAGAAAACTAGTGAAATCAAGTTTATCACGATCCACTTAGAAAACCTTAAGTGATCACTTCCACGAATTTAAGCTAGAGCTTTCAGAGGTTCTGAAACAATGTTAACACCAATTATTTCGCAAAGTGCCTCCAGCCCGTAATTTCCAATTGGGACAGACTAAGTAATTTCTCTCGAATGATTTTCACTCTCGACGACTCGTTCTCCTCCTTTGGAATTTGTTTGAAAGAAGACTATTGAAATTTTTTACAACAGTACTTCGTTGTGCCAATTTTTCGCTCAATTTTCACTTGAATGAATTCATTTTATATTGATTTTTGGTTGGTTTGTCTTTTTCTTGGAGTTCGCCCTTCCCCTAAAACCTCTTTTACAGTGACTTAGGACAATTAAGAAGTACACTTCAGTTAGCCTTTCAAGCATCAACACAAAAAATGTCATCGAACAATAACTTTAGCATCTTTGCGTTGAGAGTTACAAGGAAATATGCCATTCCTCCTTAAACTGTAAACACGTAGCCAATTCCACAAGCAGCACATTAAATATCGAAATATCATGAAAGTTCACGTCAATCTTACGTTATTGATTGACACTGAACAATCTGGGTGACTTGTTCGGTGAAACACGCCCAATAGACGTTGTTCCAGAGGCGTGAGAACTATCGTCGGAAAGATATGTGCGAGCAGAGGTTTTGGTGTGCCGGTATGTTGTGGATATTCCTCGGTGTGTTTCATCGTGCTCCTCTGGAAAGGACCGAAGAGATGTATCGTTCGCACTACCACGAGATCCATACGCCCCAGCTCCCGGTGAAAATGCGCCTGTGGTTGAGCTCAGATAAATGGGCCTTCCCGTGGACAATGTACCTGTAGACGAACCAGGATATGGACCTTGTGGATAAGGGCTTCCATGCTGAGGGGTCCCTCTGAGAGGGCTGGGAGAGGCCGCTCCAGACACTGCTCCACTACTGGCACCCCTGCCACGAGGACTGCAGCATAAGATCAGCGCAAGAATTATGCACCCAATAAAAAATGACAAACCGATTATCCAAGCACTTGTCTGTCCAAGCAAGGCGAAGAGAAATCCTTGAAAGCTTCTCTCTATTTTGCCTGCTGCGACTGTTGGACACTGCTCACTGCTTGGAATTGCTCCTGGTATCAGCACAGGGACTGCACCACTGGATGGCGCTGTGTAAGTCACGTACACTAAGCCTCTCTGGCCGGTAAGTAAGCTTTTAAACTCCACCCAGACTCTCTTGAACGACTTGCCGTTTTTCTCGACAACTTCTATCTCATATTCGGCCTCCTTATCAACTGAATTTAACCACCCTGTAAATTCGACCAGGGACGGGTCTTGAGATCTTACCTTGGAGATAAAAATGTGACAGTTTGCAGCGTTTGTGCATATGAGTACATAAACAGCTCAAACCTAAAGGAGTGGCGCCTCAAACATTTCGAAGACCTACAGTCGAACCTCATTTTAAAACGGCCTCTAACCTTCCTCCGTAAGGCGACCGATGGTGAGCAACTGTACTCCAGCTGTACTCAAGTTATACAAATCGGGATACAGAAAGGAAGAGAACATCTACTTCGAGCTTAATATTCCACGCCTCTAAAAGCTCTTTGCATAGGATCTCTCTAATGTCGAAAATGCTGGTCAAATCTTTTCACAACTAAGATCCTAATGACAGGTCTCCTTTCTGTCTGTCATAAATTTCTTTTTGAGCGAAGCCTGAGAAGAACAATCTCTCTTGATTGGTAAATACACTTTGCATTGTCATCACCTCTTGGCTTAGTGACGACGTGTGAAGGGGAAATCTCTTACTAGTCACTCCAAAGGGAAAGCGTTTCCACCGGCCAGAGCAAAAAACACACGGATCTAATTAGTAAACAAACAGACAAACAAACAAACCAAAAATCGAACAAAGTTTACCTCAAGGTTGTTCAGCTGTTCAGCATTGGCCATAACAAAAACTTGCGCTTTCCGTTTATCAGCAGAAAGCTCCAGTTCTGTTTCACTCAACACAAATGCAGGCACGAAGGGAAGTTTTAATGACTCCGAGGATTCGCTACGACCTTGAATCTCGTCGAAAATCCTGACAACAAGACTCAGCTGAGCAGCGATAGAACTTGCCGACTTGATCACATCGTCTTTAGCATTCTTTGGTACCACATAACACATTGGTTGTCCATTGACGAACCCGGGCTTCACCTCAAACAAGTCATGTGCGTGGATATTGCCTTGCAGATCATGACCAAGGTGTAGAATACACTGGAAAGGTGTCGCCTGTTTGAAACCTAGTTCTTCAAACAGCAGAATTCCATCTACAAGACCAGATGCTTTGGTTGTTTGTTCCTGCGACAAATAGTCGTTTCCCAAGTTAACAGGAATGACATAGCCACGCCCATCCAGTCGCGGGATATTGGTGATGACCAGGGCGTCATCTCTCGGGACATGAATGTAACTCAGGCTCTCGACTTTGACTTCAGTCTGGGCTGAGTATAACTGAGGTATCTTGTAGTAAATAGTAGCAGTTCCTGCAGCTGTTGCCATTGCCATGCCAGTCGTGGAGTTGATGCTGACAACTTTGTCGTTAGATGATGACCACATACCACCTATACCTTGAGAGGATGAGGGGCGAAAGAAGAGAATGTGTTACTGCCAAGCGCAAGTCTTCAACAATAGGTCGAGGATTTTGGCATATCTAATACTTCCGACAGCCATTGGTATTCCACAGCCATTGTCCGACTGGCCAAATACAATTAAGAGACTCATTGGGAATCACTAAATCTAAAGGCGACAGGAAAATTCGCCATATAAAAGACTATAAATGTTACCAGCAACTAAAATTTAGTTCTATTTTTTCCTCATTGTTGAAACGTTAATATGCAACTGGCCGATTTCCTTTCGTTAAGAGCGTTGACAAATTGATTGGTAGGTATGAGGCTGTGGTAAACAAAAAACTTTCACACTTTTTAAAAACAAAATCGTCAACTCTGGTTTGGGTTCATAAAATCTCTAACATAGATATTCAAAGTTATCTTCATTTTAAATACCTTCAGATATAACACTTGTACTGAACTGTTCCACCATCCCTAACAACAGTGTCGCTTTGGTTGGAGTCAGACCATGACCAACTCGTATGCGGACGTAGTCTGCTATGTTAACAGAACTTGGATCCCACACCTGAAAAAAGAGTAATCCTGGTTAGAACTTTGTTATAAGCGTTATACGTTCGTCAAATAAACACGTAGTCAGGATTGGGAAATGTCGTGACCTGATTCAAATGTCGTTCTGCAATTAAAATGCACGTATGTCAACTTTTCACGGATTTTCGACACAAGTGGCCGATTTTGGATTTTGGACGCTGGTGGCCGATTAAGTGTCCAAAGCCCAAAATCGGCCACTAATGTCCAAAATCCAAAATTTTCCACTACCGTCCAAAACCCAAAATCGGCCACTAACGTCCAAAATCCAAAATTGTCCACTGCCGTCCAAAACCCAAAATCGGCCACTAATGTCCAAAATCCAAAATCCAAATCGTAAATTCAACATCGGCCACTAGCGTTCAAAATCCAAAATCGGCCACTACCGTCAAAAACATGTAAAAAATCAGCCACTAGTGTCCCGAATCCAAAATCGGCCACAAGTGTCTAAAATCCAAAATCGGCTACTACCGTCCAAAATCCAAAATCAGCCACTAGCGTCCGAAGAAAAATCGGCCACTAGTGTCCAAAATCCAAAATCCAAAATCCAAATCGTAAATTCAACATCGGCCACTAGCGTTCAAAATCCAAAATCGGCCACTACCGTCAAAAACATGTAAAAAATCAGCCACTAGTGTCCCGAATCCAAAATTGGCTACTAGTATCCCAAATCCAAAATCGGCCACAAGTGTCTAAAATCCAAAATCGGCTACTACCGTCCAAAATCCAAAATCAGCCACTAGCGTCCGAAGAAAAATCGGCCACTAGTGTCCAAAATCCAAAAACAGAGACTTTAAATTAAAATCCGAAATTGGACACCAGTGTCCAAACTCATTATCGGCCACTAATGTCCAAAATCAAAATTTGTTACTAGTGTCCAAAATGCACAATGGGCCACTATCGTACAAAAAGAAGTATTGTGATGGTGTTACTCACCATCTTCAACTGGCATGTATATGCAACGCTTTCCAACTTTAAGAGTTGAAAAACCAAGAATTTTCCTTGAAACATGACCATTTTATAAAACCCTAAAATCTCAACTTCTGAAAAGTGGAAGCATATTTGTTTATATAAAAGGAAACTTCTCCGGGAAATCTCAACTTTTTCAGCGATATTTTACCACGAAAGGAAGAACTATCTTCATTGCATTTTTAGTTGATGTGTACGGCGAAAAAGACTATATTAATACATGCACTTCCAAAGGAAAGATTCTCTCGCTACACTTAAGATAACAAGCATACATGATGTACCATAAATGCTAAAATAAGCCCCCCTCCCCCCCCCTTTACCATCATTAAAATGCGGGGCTTCTAGACTGCGAAAATTACTGAAAAAGGGAAAGGAGGGCTCATTATAGATCCCGCAAAGAGACCAGAGGCGATCCATAATTTTCGTTCACATGGGTCGATCAAAATTACCGAATACCGCGTACAGAGTGCATTGCTTTGGCTGAAAACGTATTAAAACGGTTTAAAGATTAGAGGGATGAAGAGGTTTGCCACACACCTTAAGGATGGCTTCACCAAGGTTTACTGCCCTGGCATAAAAAGTGCCATTTTCTGGTCCTGGTACAACATGAACGGCATCAAATCTATCACGAAGAAGAACATGGTAACAATAAGCACATTTACTCCTCCGGACAACGTATTGGTAAGTAATAATGTCATACTGTGAGAAGATAATAAATCCTCCTTTCCGTGTCTTTTTACCGCTCTGTTAAATAACAAGTAGAGACAAAATCTAGACTTGATAATTGTTACATACTACAATAGTATCATTTCAGAGCGGCTCATTTCAACAATTTGAATAGTAGGCGGATTCTTTACATATTGCGCTGCATCAACCTCAAAAAGCTGTGAATAAATGCCTGTTATCCTGTTCACTCTAGACTACGAGCATTACCTCCTTTTTGGCGAAGTCCGTCACGCGAGTCAAGGAACAAGGGGAAAAAAAAATTTAACATAGATGTTAAAGCGCTGGGCGGAATTCCGGGTGTGTAGCACCTCACTCCCAGAGGTCTGTGCGGCGCGCTAACATCAATGTATTTTTCTGCTGATTTTTTTTTCTTTTTCACTTGCGCGACGGACATCGCCAAAAGGGGGGGTCTGTTCTTAGTCTACTTATCATCACAATAATTATCTTCGCCACATCATTACATCTTTATTTTTAAAAAAATGGTGTTAAGCCATATACAAACGTTTCAACTAGAGGTAGTTTTCAAAAAACTAAATCAATTTCTTCGAAGTAATTTAAAAGGACATGTTAACTTCAAGTAGGGAAAGTTAACACACCGATCTAGGTTGTTCAAGAAGCAAGTCTAATAGCCTAATAACCAAGTACTATTGCACTTCAATAAAATATTAATAAAACAATATATTTAACCTGTTGAGCCTGTATTTGAGCGGGATACTGGCAACAGCAAATCTTCGTCCGATATTGTCATGCAATGTTACAGCGAGCAGGACATTCATTCCCAGGGGAAATGTATGTAGCTTGTCAGAGTTCGTTCTCACGGGAGACTGACAATTTATAACGATTGATGAAACAGCCTTGACCTGAAAAATATCGAGAATAAAACGTTTAGACAAGGTAATTTAATTTCCACAAAGAAAAAAACACCGTTCGTCCGGACTTAACGCTTTCAAAAGAATCCGTTTACTTAAAGCTTGGGACACACACGTTGCAGCGTCATATCTCGATAACACGGAAAAAAACAAAAAACCCTCCGCTTGTTTTGCTTCCCAAAAACAATCGCTACCACACGTCGAGGGAAAGAGTCGCAGTGACAATTTATCTCGTATGAAACGAGAGATATTTGTTAAAAACCGAATCGTATGGAATCAAAGCAGTTTAACTTCGTGCAACCGATTGCAGCAACAAAATTCTGTCGTAGTTGCAGCTGCTTTTCCACGCAACGCATCGCAGAGCAATAAAAACCTCGACCTTTTGCAAAGTGTTATTCGCGTTGCAGCGAGCTTTTCGTGTCCTGATCTAGACTGTTTTCACATCCCTACCTCCACATGGACAACAGCAGTTTGATTGATGCCGAACTCCTCATGGACAGTCACCAACACCACAGCCGTCCCAGACAGAGATGCAGTGGACACCTGACCACTTCTACTGACACCAGCTATAGCAGCACCACTAAAAGCCTTGTTGTGCTTAGAACAGTCTGTCATCATCTCGTAGGTTATTCTTGCCGAACCATCTCTGCAGAACAGTTAACATTTAAGTACCTTACGTGGGAAGAGAGGTGATATGTAATAGGAGCTAAGGTATAAAATCAAACGTAAATGCCAAAAGTGGTAATTTCTGTTCAGAATAACCCCTCCAGCCACACATTTGCAGTGCCTTCTTGGCAAAGTCAACGACCAAGAAAGAATGATTGTCGAAGGTTAGAAAAAGGGAGTTTTTTTCTCCTTTTTCATTGTCCATCTTGGAGCAATAGGTCTCGACATAAGTTTGTCATTGTGAAAAATCATTACGCCCACACACCTGTTTGTCTGGATTTTGGTGTTAACATTGTGAGGAAGAAGTAGAAAGCCATTTGCAGGGAAAATCAACTGCAGCCTTTCATAGACCTGTCAAGGAAAAAAGCAAAATTAAAAAAAAAAAAACAAAAACAAAAACAGAAACGAGTCAAAGTAACGGGAACACTTTTTGTGGATTTGTTTTCGCTAGCTGAAGACATGACCATGAGCTTTAGGAAGAGGAACTTTCCTTTATCTGTGCGAGGCAATAACCTTAAGTGATGAAAAGTAACGTGAAAGATACCGCTTTTTTTTTCACTTTCAGGGTAAACTGGGCAAAATGGTTGAGGTAATATAAACGACTTACAAAAGTAACCAAGAGTTGTTATCTTTATAAGACACTGTCGCAGAGGATATGGATCAACGTCTAGTCAATAACACCAAAAACATATCCTCTTTAACATGTGTGTTGTTTTGAACTAGTCAGTTGCATAGGTAACACGTGACTTCGTAATGGCCTGGCTGACCATAGAGTCTCTGTGGCTCAATTGTAGAGCATCGAAGTGCGGAATCCGAAGATCTAGGGTTGATTCCTCAGTGGAACTCAGAGTGTTCTCCTTTTCCAACGCTCGTGATAGGACGAAAAAAATATCTCTTTCTCACGTGGCTTCCTCAAACGCGTTTACCCGCGTCAAATTTTTCGTTATTCTTTCATCCTAGTATACATCATTCTTTATAAGATGACCTCAGTTAGATTTTATCCGTGTTATAGTTTTCTCACGCCCAATCGAAATGTATCTTTCCCAGTCTCACCTTTTTAACAACACGCTTAATAAATACCTTGAGAGATCATAGATGCTGTCCTCACCTCAAATGTGACCTCATCTTGTAACAAAGCGTCCTCATGAGCCTGTTGATAACTATGGTCAGTTATTACCACCCTGAGTCGTACAGTCGTTTGTCCGGGGTTAATGCAGTGCAGATCCACACGGAAATCATTCTCGCTTTCCACAGCCACCCCACTCTGAAATCATAACGAATAACACAGACAGAAAGACAGAATCCTCAGAACAGACTTCACTCAATAGATGTACACGAGTACTTCATGCAACATGAAAACGAAGAACTTTAGCAACGCATCCAAACTGACTTATTGTACTTTATTCTTGTAGCTGATATCGTCATTGCAGAAATGACCAATAAGTTTACAAGAACCACACTTAAAACGCTCGAATACCTAAATAACTCCTCACTTGAATCGAACGATGACCCCGCTCCGATCATCAAAACGTCATTCATTGCTATCGACAACATTCTTCATTTTTTGAGGACTATCTTCGACCAAACGATTACACTACACGAACAATAAATTAGTTCCTTGAAAGGCAGAGCCTTTTTAACCACTCTGCCTCATCCGAATATTGTCATTGTCCTATTGATAACAAAATTGGAAAAAATTCAGCTCACTCAGTAGATGGGAGCAAAATAATTAATTCCAAAGAGTGCAGAAAGAGATAGTGAGTTAAAATCAACTGCAAATTTCTAGACGGATGTTTTTCGTTTGAGCTACAATATTCTTTATAAACATTATGCTATTTTTGCCTTAAAAAAGATTAAAATTTGCTCACCAAAACGTACACTGACTTGACTTGGCATACATCGGGGTTAGTTGAGGTCCAGAAGAACTTCAAACCAGGTACAGCATTAGCAAAAGTAAATGGCGTTTCATCGTTTAAACCAGCTGCATACATGCTGATCTGTTATAAACAATATGGAAGTCAAAAATGCTATAAAAAGCTGTCATAACATATGCTCAGCGAATACAAACGATTAAAACATAAAGTGTGCATCCAAAACAGGGCTTTCTGAGTAGGAGATGCAACGGCCTAAAACTAACACGCTGAACTTCGGGTCGAAAGGTGTTCTTGGGCAAAACACTACTCTTACACCCAGGAGTATAAATGGGTGCCGGCGAATTGTCGGGGGGGGGGGGGAAGGAAAGGGGGGCAATACCCCTACTCGCTCCATGCTTCGCGCTGTGGGCGTCTCGCGAGGAAGGAGGGGGGGGGGTGATGGTGGTGGTAATACCCCGGGTGTCTCGTGGGCTGCTTGGCTCGAGTGCAGACTTAGCCTTCTTCCCTACGTCTTTCTGCCACAAAATTTATGGAACGTAGACAACGAAACGCCCTTAATAATTAAAAAATGCACACTGCGACCTTTTAAAATCAGCATCTTCAAATGTCTAATCAGATCACTTAGATAAATCAAAACGTCTCTCATTTTGGCATGCACGTTAAGACATGTCATACCTTAGTTCCAGTGACAAGGTTGGTAGAGGCAACATTGATAATAATTCCTTTCAGCTGTATGACATGTATGATAACAATATCCTAAAGAATGACACGAGACAAGGACGCAATAAAATCAAGGAAATCAGAAAAAAAAATCCTCTTTGCTATCTATTGTCATCCCCTCCCTTGCAAACATAAATGTTTTGGGAGTGAAAAGGCGAATTTAATTAATATCAAAAGGGGATTCAAAGATCGTGGAAGTCAGAGGGTTCAGAGATGGACGAAAGAAAACGACGGAAGAGTGTTGTGTCCTCAATTGCCTGGAACACTGATCAGGCTGTTCGGCAACGCGTTCCTTATTCATGATGAACCTTAAGTGTAATACTGTCGAGCACACAACGGCTATTTCAATTTCTGTTTGGATGTATTTACTTTGCCTTAGTATGAATAACGTATAAGATGAAGTGTACCTTGGAATGCAACACCGTCTGTCCCTTGATTGGATCAGCTGTTTGTACAAACCCAGTAAGGTTTGTTGTTCCAAGCTGCTGTGCCTCCACTAGTCCCACGCTGCTGACAGTTGCCACTGTGTGGTTAGCGATGCTGAAGATTGTTGCCGCCTGGGGACTGGGCCCACCTGAACTTCGAACCTATATCCAGACAAAAGACCATCAATTTTTTAAAAAAATGTCGCTTGGTTAGTTGCTTCATGAAGGGCTTGCTGGCAAATACCTGGAAATCTTTTCTAGTCCTGGTTCAAAGAAGGCAGATGATCTGCGAAACTAATTTGCTCTAGTTTCCAAATTAAGGGGCAAAAAGATGGAAAATGATGTGAATCGCACGTTCTAAATAAGATGTTGTGGCCTATATTTTTCCTTAACCAGAAACGCATGGCAGAGTGCAAAGAATTAGTATTCAATTCATGGGAATGAAAAACTCTAAGACAACTATATTAACTGTACCTGAAATGAAGCTCCACGAATCAGCACCACCACTCTTGGGTCCAGCCTTAGGGGTGCAAAAACCTGTCATTAAAAAATTAAAGGAAAATTTTTAAAGATCATTAATTATAGAGAGTTTTAAGTATGAAAACATCAACATTTGAGCAACATCTGATGAGTGGATGTCTCAGTTTAACAAGCAGATTTTTCCCCTCACTTGCCTCCTGGGCGAAGCTAATCTCACAATTCAAACAAGATTTCAAATACCCTATCAAGTCCTTAGATAGCTATTTGAAATAAATTTTCACTAAGGGCGGGGAGGGTGGGTTGTACAGATTTCTTTCTTTCTTTCTTTAAGAAATAGTTCATAGCATGGATAAGTGTGTTTGATCTAGTTTGAAAATGGACCTTTGGCGTAACAAAATCCAATATATAATTATACCTACGAACATCAAATGGTAGCGCGGCCTACAGTTCTGATTTGTGTTAACTCGCATCGTTCGATCAAATGGTTACAATTTATCCACATATCTCCCGATGGCATCCAGACCGAAGCGAGTCAACCCACGGGGCTTCACCCCAGCTCTCGCATGAAATCGAGGCGAGTGGTCGGTCAGTCCAATCGCACAACATCCAGAAGGAAGCGACACCAATGATATGGGAACGCAAATAGTTTTATAGAACACATAATAACAGACTGACACACCTGGATATCCTTTGGATCACTTGTCGCTTTTCCTCTCCCTGTTGCTGATGCTGTGAATGTGAGGCTTGCAGTACCAAGAGAGAGTCCTCTGACCGTGAAATATGCAGTATCTTGATTGATTTTACTCTTGTCTTCAAGCTCAAAGTCCCGCCTGAGGATAATTTTAAAAAAATAATTCAATGGAAACAGGTCAACTGAATGATGAATATGCCATATTAGAAAATACAGAATTAATGAGGTCTTACATGTATTTTGCACGTGAAAATACACAAAATTATCTTTACCTGATGTCTAAAATGTCTGGAGTAAAATGTGGAGCCAAGGTGAGAAACTCAAGATTTCTGAACAACAGTGGCACCCCAAATATATCTAGCAATTTGAGCCTCAGGGTCTCTGATGCGTACAGCTCGATCTGATAAAGCAAAACGCACAAAATTGAATGGAGTCAAACTTCAAATTACAACATCAAAAGAATGACAAGTGCTGAGTGGGTGAGAAAAAAGAAAGTAGTGTGTTGATATGCACGGATATTTGGCTTCCGTATTATTACAACACTTATTCCAGCGATCCAAGCAGGAAGAGGCACGAATCATAGATACCAGGCTTGAGTGTAAGTCCCGGAGTACATCTTACGAGCAGCTTAGGTAAAATGACCTGCGACATTAACCGTTCATGGGCATAATAACATGTACAACCTGAGGCTGTGTTTAAAAACTTGAGGCTCCTTTAAACCACAATTTAAGGCGTTGACTGATCCTGTAAGCCTATATCAAACTACCATTAGAAGAGAAGCAGGTTGCGTCACTTTGACGGAAACACTTACAGTAAATAGCAACTTTAACAATGAGATAAGGAGACAGTAACTCTAAATGCCTTTCATGAGGATCTGTCTCTAATCTGAATCTTTTAGAAAAAAGGGTAAGTTTGTAAAGAAACTGTGGTGCTGCGTCGGTGGGAGTTTTACATTATAATTTGGTTTATCAACTGAGCTGATAATATAAACTGACCGCCGTAAACAGATACTAAAGCTGACGTTTCGAGCGTTAGGCCTTCCTCAGAGCGAATGACGAGACGTCAGCATTATAAACTCCTTACGGTGGCAAATTTATATTTTATGTTTTGGAGAACGGAACTGATTTTGAATTGCAAAAAAGACGACAAAAATGTGAGAATGCTCATTTCAAACCAACAATTCTTTACAATTCTACCTTGTGGCATCAACATACCTTGTTGACAACAACAACATCTACACCGTACACATCAGAAACTTGAACATCGGCAACCGCTGGCCCGGTTGAGTCCAAGCACAAATCGTGCACCATCACCGTGAACAGACCCTCGGATCTTGGAATAACCTAACCAAATAAACATTACAAAAGAAAGATTCTGACTCAAGTAAATGTGGCACGAAGGAGAGGAAGTGGTAGGTTAAATTCACGACTTTCACAATAACTCAACTCACTAGTATGTCAGTTTTTCCTTGGTAATTAACTTTTGCGATAGCATTGCTGCTTCCTTTCACAGCAAAGTGACCCGAGCCTCCTTTAATGTGGAAAACAGCCTGGAAAAAATAAAACAAGATGATGTACCATTCAGTATGTTTAAAATACACACCAAAGAAAAAGAGCATTTCAACTTCTTGATGCCCAAGAGGCGAGCGAAATGCCACAAAAATCTTGTATGAGACTGACACAACAAGACGGATGTGTGAGGATGGCAATTAGTCGGAAAATTGGAACTTATTGTCAAACAGAGAGAGATGTGAATGTTACTCGTAAGCGGGCGATATTTTCTTCTACAGAATGCGATGTCGTATGATTAACTTGATTTAAGTACAGGATTCCATATGGATATTCCTATAGATAAAGCCTTACTTGATTTTCAGGATGATTCAGTATTGAAGCGGCTGGTGGAACAAGTTGCCTTTCAGGAACAAGCAGCAATTTCAGATGCCCTCGCAAATTAAACTTAACGGGTTTCTGTACAAGGTGATGAAAAACCTCAATTAATTTACGACTAAGGTGGTGCCACTATCAAAAAGGAAATCAGTGATACGACGTACTGTTAGGGAACTCTAATGAAATGATAAGGGTGAAAGGGGATAACCCTACGGAAGACAAGTATACAGTCCAGGGAGGAGTGGGGGGTTGCAATACCCTTGGTTGCTTAACGCTTCTGAACCTGAGATACTCAGGCAAAGGGCTAACACTCCTTAAATTTACCACAACAGTACTATCAATAAGCCTACCGATGCAGACCAACCCTGTCTTTAGATAATCATTACTTCAGACATGGAGGGGTTTCAATAAATTTTTCCCTAAGCAGTTGCTGATGATGTGATTGCCGGCTGTGCCCAGAAAAGGGGCCGTCAGGCGAAACCTAAACACGGGCTTTTCTTGCAAGGTAAACGGACTATGGTGAGAGATCTTATAGGTGACGGTAGATTGCCGGCAACCGGGTTTTATTGAACACCCGGACATATTTAGGTAAAAAAAAAATCAAACCTTCAATTCCCTTCCACACCATCTTAAAATGTTGCATTGGTAGCCTTCAATGGATGCCTCGATAACAACTCCACCCATCTTGTCGCTCAAACTGACAGTTTGATATGCTAACCAAACAGAAGAGAGATTAGTATGCGATAAGTTCCAGATATTCAGGGTGAATTCATATTTAAGTAAAAATAATAATAAAGAGGAAAAAAAAAAAAAAATTCAGGGAATGAAAGCAGTTAAATTAAAAGCACTCACACATTGCTCTTCTAAGGTTTTCATCGTCCTTGTATTTGACAAACATCATCTTAACAGAACTTGTCATGTCAACAAATTCTGCCAAAGTGCGATCGCTGGTCGACCAAACTACAGTCAGTGATGTGAAGTTGTCAAATAAGCGTCCGAAGGAGTCACGGAGATGGACAGCAAGGTTTAACTGTTGATTGTTGCGCACATGGATCTGAAACCCGAGACAAAGCCACTAGTTAAAAATTTTTCAATCCCAATCCCAAACAATGTATCTGTTAACCCAAGATTCTTGAAAGGCAGATTTTAAAATTTGGTCCATCCATTAAAAAGGTTCAGGCTGTAATGGTGACAAAAGTGGTGAATGAATAGTCACTCTTGCAGAACAAACTTTTCCATGATAACGCATTTGCCCACAAAAATGTATCTCATGCATACCGTTCCACTTGTCTAGCAACTTTGGGGTTGTTTGTTCCAAAAATGAACTTCATACAGTACCATACCTCGATACAATGACTTCTTCCCCCCTCGCATATTTGACGGACTATTGCCATTAACAAAGTACAACATTGCTTTGAGGGGGGGTTGGGGGGAAGAAAGTGAGGGAGTCAAGCCTGGGGTACTGGGGTCAGTTGAAAATGGTACACATGCTGTATTCCAGAATTTTACAATCTCAATGGTAGGTTTAGAAATTTGCCACTCAATTTGATGGATTTATCACTGAAAACTCTGATAAAACAGCCACCTTTCCAGACCCAATATGACCAAAGGTTGAGGGTACCTCAAACCTTTATGATAAACAATTACTAATAAGTACTAACAAGTACTGACACTAGCATAAGATGGTTGAACAGGGGGGTTCCAAAGTAAGTCTTCAAGTACCTCTTACCTCTTTGTTCGAGCTCACACAATTTTCAGGAGACAGTTGACGCCCATCCACTGTTGGAAGTTTTATGTCGGGAACAATTGTCAGAGATGCAGGGTCCATGCATGCAAATCTACAAAAAAAAAAGTTTAATAAGTAACTTTTTAGGCAAAAGCACAATCAAGTTTTTTCATGGACTACAGATGAAACACCATCACAAGATGATTAACACGATAATTAGTTTCAGCAACAATCTGCCCTTTAGTCGAAGAATCAAAAAATGGAAAGAAGCCATATTTTGAGGTTGAAGTTTAATGAGTATTCTTTATCCTTCACACATTTAACTTCAAGAGCTTGCATTAAGGAAGTCCTGTTTTACCCTCTATAACCGTATTTTCCATTTGTTCCCATGAGGAATAAGATAAATCTTTGAGTACATAAATGTTATTTATTGTCTGTTTGATGTGCCATTCTAATTCTTTGTGTTGGTGGCTGAAGTTTGAAAATATTTCGCATGCGTTAAATGAACTGTAAACTACATGCATCACATATGAAAAGCGCCCTTTGTTCTTGCGAAATGTCACTTGAAAGGCCTCGAACTTTTGCTCGAACTTTCAACGAAAGATCGTTCATTTGCATTACTTTTGCACAATACTGGTACTTCCGCTAAAACACAGATCAGTTACGTTTTACCTCTCACCTGATTAATACAGAGGAGCTTGCTGGGTATGGATTCTTTGCAGATGGTTTGTTTCCAATCTTCACAGTGAGAACCTAAAACAAGCGGCCATTTTATGAGACCCAACTCCAACTAGTGGGCATTATGACCAAACTTACATATGAAGTTAGGTCACTAAAATGGTGCCCCATTCTGTCACTTACAGTTAACTACATGTATGTTTTGTTCTGATTTTAGATGCATGTTGAGATTGATTGTTACAGATACATGAAGAAAGAATTGTTGTAATGCCAAAATATCATTATTTTCATTGTTCTTAATTATTACAGAATTGTCACAGGGCTGTGATGTGCTATCAACCACGATATATTTCTATGTATCACTCCTCATTGTTTCCAACAGGTAAACCTTTAAGCTTTTGGGGCAGATTAAGAGGCATTACCATACGCTTTTGCTCTCTTTGCTTTGTTATTTTGCTCTCTTTGATTCCCTCCCTCCCTCCCTCCCTCCCTCCCTCCCTCCCTCCCTCCCTCCCTCCCTTCTTCCCTCCCTCCCTCCCTTCCTCCCTCCCTTCTGCATCTTGGGTAAGTATTCATTCTACCCTACATGTAATTTGTGAGTTTTGTGTTAACAGCTCCCCACAAATGAGATGTGGCTTATTGCCATAGCAATCATCTTGCAATCATGGCAATCATCTTGCTACAGACAAGGAGAAGACTGTCTTCCTCAGCAACTACCATAGTGAACCAAACCTTCAATACCACTGACCACACGTTTTCACAGAATGTTATGGTATCACATTTAATTTTGACCAAAGAAAGAGTTCTTACCTGTTCACCTTGCTTTAAACAGATTATGTTAAAATAATGATACGATCCACTGTTATCAACTGAAACGAAAAAGACACACCATAATATACTCCACTACATGCATAACATGCATTACATGCATTACATGCATTACAAACAAAAACTTAAATTCATGTGGAGTGAAAGTCTCTTAACTCTTTCACCCATGAGAGTGACTAACATCTAACAATACCACCCCTGAGTAACAACCAGAAAAAAGATCCCCCTCTATTCAGAAGGGTCAAGTGATAAATATAGTATTTTCACTAACCAAGATAGTCAGATGTGGGATAATACCCAATAGAAACATGGTCCTCTTTCTGTGGATCTGGAATCACTGTCAAACAACAGGAAGATGGGAAGGTTAGTCATCTGTAGGAAGCAAGCAAAACTCAGGGTTTGTACCCTTCTTCAGAAAAAAATTCATAGACTTTTCCAGTATTTCAAATTTCACCTCAAACCCTTTCAGTCCCAAGATTTTAAACCAAATTCTCCCAATGGTCTAAATACATTACAGGCATAAATTCTGAAAACTTTATTGCTTGAGTTAAGCAGATTTTTAGGACATTCCAGGTTTTGGAAAATGGACTTTCCCCAGAAAACTGTACACAAAGGTAAAGGCAGAAAGTTTTGTCAAATTGGCTCTTAATATCCAATAGAAATTCTCTTTCTGTTGCATGTGTAAACATCTGTTTGAACAAAAACTTTTGTTCAACAGTTATGATGTTATATCAGTGTCTAACCAATTGTCTCCTAATTTAAATGCACTATTAATTATAGTCAAGCTTTCAATTGAGGACTGCTCATTATCATTCCTAAAGGTAGGGAGTAACTAAGCAAATATCTAATGGAGAACATAAACTTGTTTGAATAATCATGCTGGTCAAATTGCACCAATGATAAAACAATAACAGCTAACTAATCATGCTGCCTAAACAGCCACACCTAATGTTCAACCTTATCACCTGACCACAACCAGCTTGACCCTACAATTGAGAATGATTCTAGATCTTGAGACAAACAATTAAACAGTCAGTTGTTATATACAGTTCACATGAGTTTACCTTCTTCATAATATCCAGAAGTATCCACAATCCAAGGAAGAGGTCCTCCCTCTAACAAGAGGTTCTTTGCTGAACACAAAGACACCACACCAACATCCACTGGATCTAGAACCTACATATAGATAAATAATTCTTATACTGCATGTGTACTTGTGGCTAGTTCACCAAAACTTAACAGCTAGCCAGAGTACTACAGGAACTAGCTGCCACATATAGAGCCTTCTGGAAGAACTAGCTACTGCTTCTAAATGCAGCTGCAATGCACATGGCATTAGGGTGACATTGACTTTGAGACAATGCAGGCCAACAGATGTCCCTCTCTGGGCCTACAAGGGAACCTTTAAGCATAGTGCACGGTAATCTTGTCAGCAATGCCCTTCACAGCAACCAAACCTCAAGCCCATCTTTTGTCCATGAAATGCATTTGGTGGTAACATTCCACAGCCGAAGACAACAGAGCACTTGCAACTCTCAAGCAACATCTGCATGCCTAAGAGTTAACTCATAACTGACCTTAAGCGGGTGATAAGCACCAACAGTCACCATAGAACGTAGAATTATGTCCTTGTACTGGTATGTCACAGTCAGTGTGGTGAAGCCAGAACGAAGGGCAAGAAGCTTCACTGACATACAACTTCCAGCAGTTATCTCATAATCTCCTAAAAGTAGACATTAAAAAGCACACTGTTTCAAGACACACACCAGGTACAGTTAGTGCTTGAAAATATCTTGAAACTCTAGATAAAATTCTATTAGTCATCAAGCCAATTTCATGAGTTTAACCTTTAATAAGGATTGGCAAATAACTTGCCCATGAAAATGCTGACCTGTCACATCAGCAGAAAAAGTCATTTTGATGACATCTAGAACTCTTCAGAAAGTAATCATTTGAGTTCTTGAAATCTGAGCTTGGAGACAATTTCTGATCAAATTAAGAAAAAGCCAATCTCTTATACTTACTTTTCTCTTCAACTAACTTGAAAATAGACGGGTCAGAAAAAGAGTACATCACAGGGAGAGTGCGACAATCGGTGAAAACATGGAACTCTTGGCATGCTGAGAAACGAAACAAAGTAATAATTATAATATCATTTTATGATTACTTGTTTCAACCTAACCAACATTTGTAAAGTGTTATTGTTGGCAACAGTGACCAACAATTCAAAACCCTGAGCAAAAGCCAACATCAGTGCCACATCAAGGCTATAAAAAAACTCACACAAAACTCTGCTCAGGCTGGCAAAGCACAAGGATCTACCTCAGCAGCAGTTCTTTGCAGGACTAAATGATCCCTACACTGGACAATTAGACTACACCACCATACCAAAAATACTGTGCTGTGGTCAACACACATAGAGCTAGCTGTACTTAGTTCGCCAAACAAAATTTGCATGTGAAAATCACAGTTTCAGGGATTGAACAATAACTATATCAAGCAACCTATGAAGTAAATGGAGCAGTAAGGACAGATGATGATAATGATAGTAATAAAGAGCTTTTCCTTTACCTGTATAAATGCAAGTTGCTACAGCCAGTGGGAGTGACAATGAATAACCAACTTGAGCTTCAACAACAGAGGGAAGAAACTCCATTTTTCTTGGTGGAACGACATAAACCTGTGAAATTTCACATAAAATGATTAAAAAAGACTCCTCAATTAACCTCATTCCCAGGATCCACTCCCTGTCATTCCCAAAAATAACAGAGGAGTGTTAAGGGGACACACTTACAAGGACCCACAGAATAAGGTTCCAGTCACATGTCATTTTATTGCCATCACATCATTTAAGGAAACAACTGTTACAATTTTCTTACACTAACCAGACCTAAAAACAAATCTTCTATCTATTTCCCCCTTTGAATGATACATCATGGCCCTTTTTGACCTTAGGTGGCCTTCTTGTGACACTGAATACTGACTAAGGTATAAGTAAGGTATAAACATTATACCAAGGAAGTTGTACACTGATCACTCTGCAAGATGAAGGAGTATTCAAAACAGGTTAGGAACCCACCTCTGCTGTTCCAAAAATTGCCAGATTCTTCATGTCTGCTGCACGAGCCTGGGTGTGTCCTACTGCATTAGTTGTGATAACAACACCTTTGGTGCTTACAGTGGCTACTGAGGTGTTAGATGATGACCAAATATACATTCCACTTCCTCCAGATGGCTGGAGAGAAAACCAAAAGGAAAAGTTAAAAGAAAAATAATAATTGCTACTTGCTGAGACAAAATCAAGCTTGGAACTTTATAAAGCTCACAGTAACTTAACATCTTATCAAAGTTTCTCAGTATAAAAAGCAAAAGGCAAGATGAGCTAAAATCAGAACACCGACAACAACTTTACATGGTTTTCTTTCCTCTTTAAACATTTTTTTGATATTGCCATGAGGCTTTTACTTTACAGAGCCTTTGAGCCCCAGACATAGCATAATGCAGGTACCATTATAATTATTAACAGTGGAAATGTCATTATGTACCTCCAATAAATATTGAAACTGGGTGTGGCTGGCCACTTTCTGTTGCTCTGGTGGGTACCATGGGAACACTATTATCTCAGGGTTGACAACCACTGGATCAAAAATATCTGCTTCTTGTTGTCCTGAGATGGGATTATTGAAGGTGTAGATCACGTTTGTACCAAGAATCTGTGATTAAAAAGTGTGTTAGCGTCAACAAGGCTCACCCCAAAAGGCTCCACTCCTCCATCATTGAACTCTTGATAAAGTATTATATTTAAGGTGGTAAGTTTTTAAAGAAACTGTGGTGCTGTGTCAGTGGGGGAGTATAACAAGATAAAACTGAGTTGATAAAGTAAATTAGCCACTGTAAAGAGTTTCTAAGCCGACGTTTTGAGTGTTAACCCCTCCACAGAGCAAATATTAAAGGGCTCTGATTTGCTCTGACCAAGTGCTAACACTTGGAACATCAGCATAGAAACTCTGCACGGTAGCAAACTTAAATAATTACATTATCAACTCAGTTGATTAAAGCTTATTATTCTATCATATCTGAGAACTATCAGTAGTAGTAGGTAGTGAGAAACGATGTATTCACAGTGGTACATCTACAGATAGTTGAAAATAATAGAGAGTAATTCATTGTCTTCTGTACTGCATCAGAGTAACAAACATAATGGGAATAAAAGTCTGAAATTATAAGCAGAAACTACACATCAATCACTTCTAAAATAACTAGTTTGTAATGTAGCATAGTTGGAAATTTTAGTCATTACATGAGTATTAAAAACTGCACCTTAATGCTTGTGTACATGGCTGTCAACATGGTCTTGCCTTTCTGTAGAGTTCGCACATGATGAAAGGAGCCATTAGCTGAAGACCAGAGCACTTGGAAGTATGATGGATCAAATGAGGTATCAATGCGAATATTCTGATAAAAAAAAGTAAAATGAATAAAAGTTCACTTAGCAGGACAGTAACAAATAGTTTTCAAGAGCAAAACAGTCCCTAATTTGTCAAAACTTAGTAGCTTGGGATTCAGAATCTGAAGGTTCCAAGTTTAAATCCTCTACTCACTCCCTCAATCAAATTGTTTTGTTTCATGATAATCCCAAGTTCAACTCCTCAACTAAACCTTGCTTACCCTTCAAACCCTAAGAGTAACTATATTTTAGTAGCATTTGATTTCTCCTTAAAATGTCACCCCTGAATCACAGATCAAGGTTGTGAGAATAAAGGAAATGATCACCAACAAAAGAAGTTCTTGATTGTTCAACAAATTCTCCTTGTCAATACCCTAGGAAATGTATAGAGAACAGTATGGAGAATATGCATACTGATGTTTGGGTGTAAGAGGTTAATAGCTGACTGGTTTGCCTACATTCATAAACAACAGCCAGCCTGGGCTTTTTGCTTTTGTTTCAGTTTTCTAGCAACTAAACTTTTATTTCTGGAAACTATTTTATCATTTTAGGTTTGAAGATCACGACAACTTGAAAAATAAAAGAGCTTGAAATCATGTGGAGAAAAATAATATGAAGATTTGAGATAAATCAAAGTGTTCTCCTTTAAAAACAGAATCATTCTTACATCAGTGATAAAGACTTTACGGTTGTCATGACTGTAGATATGAACAGTAACATCATACTCAATCCCCACTTGTAACACCCAGTCTGGATGTGGCACAATACTGAAACCTAAAAAAATAGCAAACAAAAATTATTTTAAGTTGATGTGTCTTTCTTAGCAGTTACGACAATAAATTAATGTTGAATTACATGTTATCAATTCAGAGTCGATATAAGGTGTATGGTCAAGTAATTGACCAAAGATTCAAACAATTATATTGCCACAAATGTTCATGTACAACCCTGCAAGTCTTCATCAAGTATCTAGTGACAAGTGCTATGGTAGCTGAACAGGGGATCTTCCATTGATACATGTAGCTTAATTCTTTGTCTCCTATGGGTGTCCACGACAGAATTATAATTGCTTTACAATATCAAGTAGATAAGTATTGACATAATGTAAGTTAGGATTTGTTTTGGATAGTCCCCAAAAGCAGTATTGTAAATTCCTCATCTGGTCATAAACATCACACCCATTTGTCACAAATAAACTGTTTGTTTAAAAAAGACAATGCTGTCATTTTCTGATATTACTATTGCTATGGATCATGTCTTTAAAAACATATACCTAACAAAGCTGCATCCACAACATGAACTCCAACAGCTGGTTGATGTACAGCCTGCATGAGAAGCATATCTGCAGGGCTAGTAAAGGGGGCTCAACCAAAGGTTAACCATGTAAAAAACTAAAACAATACATAACGGATTACAGGATTGACACAAATATTCACTGCACTTCAAAAAAAAAATTGGCCTAACTCTGTGTCTCTATTTCTGTAAATGTACCAGGGATTCATACTCAACTATATGTATTTAGTTGCCTGGAAATCATCCATGGCTTGCCAGAAATAAAATTTTAGTTATTAGAAAAAAATATAGGTAACAAGTTATTGCTCAATACTTATCACAGTGTACATGAGGCAACCAGAATAATGGGGGGATTTTTCTTGTGGAAAATGGTGCAGCACTAACTTTTACTGAATGTAATCCTTTGATGAAATAATGAAATAAAAGAAGATGAGAGAATGAATGAATGATTAAATGAATAAATGAATGAATGAAAGAATGAAAGAATGAATAAATAAATGAATGAAAGAATGAATGAATGAATGTATAAATAAATGAATGAAAGTATGAATGGATTAATTTCTGAATTAATGAAAGTATGAATAATTGAATAAAAGAATGAATAAAGAATGAATAAATAAATGAATGAAAGAATGAATGGATTAATTTCTGAATTAATGAAAGTATGAATAATTGAATAAAAGAATGAATAAAGAATGAATAAATAAATGAATGAATAAGTGATGAATAAGTGAATGAATAAATGAATGAATGAATGAAAGGAGGAAGGAATGAATGAATGAATAAATGAATGAAATAAATGATGACATGATGAAGAGCTTACTGCTACTGCATGTATGTTCCCAAATCATTGATTGCAAAATTGGGGACTTTGTGTGACCAAAATGGGGGCAGCTGGCAGCACTGTATGCTATAAAAGGATACTTTTATCAACAAGAGTAACTTTGGTGTAACCAATCTTGACACCAAGCACACTTGATTTCTTGACATTCAGATGGCCTACTGTGGTATTGCTCAGTTTAAATTCAAATTGTGATGACGGCATTGGTATCGCTGCATAGAAAAATGTAACCAACAGCAGTTACATTTATTTACAAGCTGCTTCAGGTAATTCTGGTCTATAACTCTAAGGATACATAGTCAAAAAAGTTATCTGAGTAAAAGTCAGGCAGATGTGTTGAGGTAGATTGCAGTTGGGTAAACTTGAAACAAACATGCTAGAAAGACTTGCTTAATAATTTTTATGATACTTCATCTTTCAATATGAATATCAACTTTGTAAAAAAATTTTGGTAAATTATACAAGATGAAATTTCTCAAACCTGTGGTCTTTCCTCTGTGCATTCTGTTAACACTATACGTGACAGATGTGTTAACCAGGATATACACATCGTAGCCAGGTACTAACAACACATTATCTAAAACTAAAATTCTTGCTTCAGCTGGAGAAACATTCTGAAAAAAAGTAGTATTTTAAAGGTAATCAAATATATGTAATAATCTCATAAACAACACTGTCAGACAGACTATATATTTTGACCAATCTTAGCAGACAAAAAAAGTTTACTCTCTATACAAGAGCACAAAATAACTGCACAATTTGAGAAGCAACAACTGCAACCATTGCTTCTAAAGAATGGCTAGATAAGACAGTCACCAAATGACATTTCATTTTAGCCAAGAAATTACTGAAATTACAAATCCAAGGATGTGCATTTGCCTCTGTGGTAAATCTGGCAATTGATTGCTACATTTTGTAGGCATTACTAGCAGAAAAATATTATTTTGCGCAACACGTAGTCAAATTGTGCACGTTCAAAGTTACTGTCACATTTTGTTCCACATGATTTCACACAAACCCAAATTACAATAATCATTGTGCAAAACAATAGTTCCTTTCACTTCATGCATGATAAACTGCATGGATATTGCAAAAATAAGCATTGAACACAGAGATTTTCCTTGAGATGATCAATGTCTGATTTATTTCAGCGTTTCGATGGATTTGGAAAGTGTAGTGCGTTTATCTTTATTTCAAACAAAGATTCTTCCTATATGCAAATTTCTGGTAAGCCAGCTTTGTTTGTGGTGTTTATTGATCACTGTGATTAGTGATTTGCATTTACTTTAGGAAGATTTGGTGAGAACTGAGCTTATAATGATTTCATATTTAGACTTATTTATTTTGATGCTTTCGAATGAAGTTCTAAGTGGTTTTAAAATATCCAAAGAAGCACAATTGCCATTTTGAAAAAATAACACAAGCTCACCACTAAAAATAGCAGCACACTCTGTCTCTGTCAATATGTCTATGTATCATTTGTGACTGTTAATTATAGTACAGTAACTATAAGACACTTTTCACCATCTCATTTTGAAACAAGATGATACATCATGACAGATATATACATCATGACAGATATGTACATCATGTCTAAGGTGCTTCAACAACGTGGCATGTACACAACTTACAGCAAATGATGTATCCTTGAGCATTGCTTTGACAATTGCTGTTCCAGTGTTGATGGGTTCTATTACAATGGAACCTCCACGTGAACCCTGGACAGCAACACAACAGAAAACATAAAAATTGTAACAACCAAGAAGGTAATCATGAACTAGAATGTAAACTTCCAGAAGGATAACTGGTTAGAACTAACCCTCAAGCACAGGAAAGAGAATATTATAGTAACATTAAAATACAAGATAATCTTCAAGCAAGTCAGTTGTTATTATTCTGTATGTGACCATGAAATGAGGCTTTCGTTCACATGCAAGTTACCAGTAGCTGTCTAAAATCACATTTTTTTAAACTGCTTTGATTATGTACAATTTCGTATCCATCTACTCGGCTTTAAAACTTGTCTTTTGACGAGAGTTTTCCAAACCCATTTCATTTATAGTTTCCTTGGTTACATACTGATGATGTTAACCAGACAAAGAAAAATCAAATCAAATTGCTTCAAAACCATAACTTACAAGAGTAAAGCATACGAAAGAAAAAGAGTATTTTGTTACACTACCTTTGCTTCTAAAGAATATATCTCTGGTGAAGTTTCATAACTTGAAAACGAAAACTGCATAAATCTACCAGGCAAGCAAACAATAGAGTGTAAGTGAAAAATGAAATACTGAAAATCAATTATCTCTTTAACTCCCAGAAGTGATTAACATGAAACTTCTCCCTATAATATCCATACATTATTCAGCAAACAGGTAATGAGAATATTTGAACTTATCAGGTGGAATCTGCCATCTTGATCTGGCACCAAGTTCTCATAACTTATTTACAGGGAAAGGTCTCGCAGCTAGAGGGCAGGGCGTGAAATTAACTTTTTTTTCTGATAGCCATTTGGCTCCTAAATTCTTCAAAGTGGTAGCCAATTCAAAACAAGTTGGTCACCATTTTCAAAGACAAATAAAATCTTTCTTTATGCTGTCAGCATTCTAGATAGACCCTCCAAAATTAAGTTAGGGAAGAGATCTTTAATGTGCTTCAAAGTGGACACTAGGATGTATGATATACAACGTTCAGGCTCATCTAAATCAAAGATGGTGTCTAGTTATCGATTGAGATGCATGTGCTACGTTTTGGAAACAAACTTAAAGAGGAAGTTTGCCGCGGATTTATCTTTGCAAATCTTTTTAATTCACTATATCTCTTGGTAAGATTATGATGAAGTGTTCTAGTCGCCAATTTGGCGACTAACTTTCAGGATTTGGTCACCAAAGTGAAAAATTTAGGCGCATTGGCGCCTGTATTAGGTACAATTTCACGCCTTGAATGAGAACAGGTAATGAGAATATTTGAACTTATCAGGTAGAATCTGCCATCTTGATCTGGCACCAAGTTCTCATAACTTATTTACAAGGAAAGGTCTAGCAGCTAGAGGAGAGAATTAAGAATCAGATCTTGGGAATTAAAGGGTTAATTATACATGTGTTGCACATTTTCACACTTTTGCACCATGCAGTTATAAAATAACAGCCCCCTTAAAACAGTCAGGCTTCATCTTTAATTCTGAACTTCACCATATGCAAAACTTCAATTAAATGCACAGAACTACAAATAATCATGTCAAAATAATCTAAAATTACAAAATAAAAAATGGAATAAATCCAGTCTTACCTTAACACAGATTTTGCATTAACTGAACCAACCCCCTCAACTGTCTTCAGTTCCCATTCAAATTCAAGACCACCCAGAGTGGAAAACATATTTCCTGGAATAAAACATTTTAAAATAATTATCACTGTGAAGTTCACAGCAACACAAATAATCCATGACAGAGCTCCAAGCTCAACATTTTTCAAAGTTACCCTCTGACAAGCAAAAATTAAAAAACTGTCACCAGAAATGAAATATTGGTACTTTTTACCAAAAAGAAAAAAAATAGCCCAAAACACTTTGTGCCAAATTACATTATTCACTGTACTCTGAACTGCATCTCTTGCCTATATGCTTAGCCTATTCACGAGAAGGAAAAAATAGTGGAATATCAGTAAAAGTTTAAGCAAATGTTTATTCAGCTTTGACTAAAAGTGAAAATACTATAGCTTGCTGGGATACACAAGACCTTGAAAGACAGGCTGCAACTTAGGCAAAATTAATTCAAAATCTACATGCCAAAATTTCTTTGCACTCATAACAAGGGGCTACTAAAATGGCAGCAACTTAAAACATAAAACTACAGTGGTTTTATATCATAATAATGGTCAACGTTTCATACCTTCCTTGTCAAAGGCCTGGATATGACAAACTGCTGGTGCTTCCCCAAGCAAAAGTTTGCGAGTGGTAGTAACAATTTCAATCTTCGCAATGTCATGTACATAAACATCGCTTCGCAAAACCACACCAGTAACTGACAAGGATGAATAAAAAAAAAAAAAGTACTGAATGATTGACAGTGATTTTTATTTACAGTTAAGTATATTTAGTGAAATAAAAATTTGTGCCAGCTCCACAGTTTAAGTCACCAAACCCATTTAGTAATATTTACATCCTTATATCTGCCCTTTCAGTTTGGACATATGATACCCATTTTTGTTGGCTGCATCTGAAAGGCTTAACTGCTGGAGAGGTCCACCAGTAAAAATGAAGCACTTTTTAGGCATGTAGTGAGTGTAACTAATAAGCATTAATGACTTAGTCCTCTTGTCAAACACTGAAGAAATGTAAAATGGTTTCCGTGTTTACATAGCCTGATGTAAACATGCGGGAGGTTGGGAGAACACGAGATAAGTGTAGGAAACCATGACGCAGAGCGGAGTGGCTTCCAGCTTATCTCGTGTTCTCCCAACCTCCCAAGTGTTTACATCAGGCTATGTAAACACGGAAACCATCTTACATTTCTTTTATAAAATAACTAATGAAAGAGGAACAAAAACCATGTTTACATACACTCATGTAAAATGGTTTTATGGACAATCAGAGCGTGCATAACATTTGAATTATTTTATAATATTCATTGATATACAAATATAAGATGTTGTCAAAAGCCTTTTACTACCAGGATCTGAGAACAAATTCTCCAGACTCATGATCAACTCCCAAACATGATTAACATGTATCTTCTCCCTACAATATCCATACATCATTCAGCAAACAGTTAATGTGAATACTCAAATTTAGCAGGTAGAAGATATCATCTTAATCAAATACCAAATTCTCATAACTATAATTTCCATGGATATTTGTAACAGCAAGAGGAGGGTCAATTAACAATCAAATCTTGAAGTTAAAGGGTTAAGTTACAAGGAAGACTTAATTAAAAAGCCAAATTTACTTGACCATACAAATCACCTTCATCTTCTCCAAATATTTCTGTCATTTGCATTTTTGGAACTCTCGCTTGGGCTGTTAAAATGGCTTCCTTTGAACATTTTCTCCCTAATAAGTATATCAACATTTCCAAAATCAACATTGCAGATGAATGTAAAGGTTCAATTTCTAAACTGCTCAGAAAAAGAACTATTCTGAAGTCCTTTACAAAATTTTCTTAGAATTGCATGGCACGAAAGTTTCTAATTGTTTACATAGATGTCATGTCTAAATAGTTAATTAAGTTTTAATGTCATATTTATTGAATGTTGTATTTTGCAAACATGTTTACTTAAAAAAAATCTATTTTTATAAATAGAGGTGTACTTTTTTCTCTTCCATTAGTGTAATTTATCACGGCAAATAACAGCGACAAACAAAAAATTACTTAATGTGGTTTAAATTTTGTGATAAGTTCTCGCATGGAAGAAATCTATTAGACTTTGAACAGAAAGTTATAACTTCTTATTTCATTAAATTTCAGTAGAGTTGTTTTTTCAGTGGTATACATTGGGGAAATATTTCGCTTTGTGTCCTGCATGTATTTATGCAATCTCGCCGCTCACACGGATCGTTGCCTCCTCACCCGTTCCAATACATCCCTCCCTAACTGACTAGAGTTTATTTTTTTGCCCACAAAAGTAGAGAAAATATAGACGTTGTAAAATTATGGTCGGCACAATTCAAATAATTCAGACTTGAGACCCATGCATTCAACTGACCATTATTTCCTTGAGGCCGGTGAGCGAAAAGATAAACGCACGTGCGAGGAGGTTCTAGATTCTTCGAGTAATTTTTAACGTACCTGATTCTTCGTCTCCATTGTTGTACACGGGATGAGTTGAAGCAACCTCGGGTCTACTCGAAGTCCTCAGAAACAACACATCAACATCGAGTAAAACAAAATGACTTATTTCGGATTAGGTGAAAATCTGTCAAATTGGCGGGAACTCTTAAGTTTATCTAAGTGAAACTAACTCACCATACGAAGCATCCATGCAGAACTTTGAAGGAAAAATTGGTATGAACGGATCCACTAGCGACATACGGAAGCAGCACCCGTGGCGGGAGGTTGAGCGTATTTTGCAAGTGTTCACCATTTACGAGTGCAAATCCTAGAAGAAGAGAAATGACAAGAAATACACCCATAGACGCCATCTTAAATGTGGAAGAGAACACTTGCAACATGGGAGTCAGCGGTCTCCAACTGTGAACGTCGTGCATGGAAACACCTTGGGTACCAAACAATGCTTCTCGAGGAGGGAAGCGGTCGAGGGGAGGATTTTCTTCAAGTTGGGCGTTGCAAATGGTGTTTTTTTTTCTGCAAGGCAATTACTTCATTGAGTAACTGAGTTGCTACACGCGGTCTCATTGGAAGAAACTTGTGTTTCGATGAAAATATGTAAACAAGGTTGTGACCTTCTAGATTCGGGCGTATTTTTGATAATTATTTAAAGACAACAACAAATGACTTTTTCCTTGTTTACATTTATGACGAATTAAGCTCACTTTGCAAAAAAAACGTGTCGTACAGGCCAAAGAAGAGAAATATTTAATCTCATATGCAATTAAAAAAGAAGATGAAAAGGTGTTGCAGAGGAAGAATTTGAATTAAGGAGCGATCATTGGTGTATGCGAATATTCTGCGCCATTGAATGTAAACTAATTGGGTTTCAACAAACTTTTGTACTGTCATGCGCAGCTCAGCCGACGTGATCGTTTTGAATTTTTAACGGTGATCTTTTCCTTCCTGACACTGAAAAAGCACATATTCACCCTCTTTTTCAAATTCCTAGGGTTAGTTATTGTTTATCTCAAAGAGCCACCGTTTTCTTTGGATTTTTCAGCTTTTAAGTATTTGGAACAGAGAGAGAGGGTTAGTTAACCCTCTCACTCCCAAGATCTAATTAGGAGTTCTCCTTACTATATGCCGTACAATTCTTATGATGTTAGTTCAGAGAATTTGGTATTGGATCAACTAATAATCCCATAATTGATATTCTTCTCTATTCTCATCACCTACCTGCTTGATATTGTTTTGATATTGTAAGGAGAAATTCTGTCTTGGTCACTTGTGGGAGCGAAAGGGTTAAAGATTAAAGATAAAGATGCAACGCTTTCGTGGTCAGTTGTGTATTGTTTTCTCGTCTTTGTCTCTTAATCGTCAAAAGTTAACATGTTTTGAGTGCGGCTGAGCGTCTTTGAAATTCGCGCTCAGTCGACACCATTGTTTTCTTGTTGTCATGCTAATGGAGTATATGGTAATAAACCGCGTGCACTTGACAACGATCATTTCGCTATTGTCACCTGACAACAATCATTTCGCTCGTGTCATTAGAAGAGATCGTCGAAAAAAAAGTTTTCTTGAAAATGTTTTCCGAGTTTAAGATAGAGAAGGCGCCAAACGTCCTCTACAGACGCGGACCGAGGCATTTTGAGGTAGAGCAGTCTGCCATCTCTTTGCCACTCCTTGAGGCATAGGAACAGCGTATTCGCCATTTGCGCGCTGAGAATGAGCACCTACGAGCTGAAAAAATGGAAGATGTTAAGATTATTTATGGCCAGGCGGCGGAATTGGCAGAGAGAAGACCTGAAGTTTTCCAGCTTCGCCAGGAACTTCAGCTTCTAAGACTCGAAGTTGCCCAAAGTCGCCTTGAAGTTAACCCTGTAAAGAACACCGTGAAATTTAACGTCAGCCGCAAAAGCTATTGGGACGTGGACAGGGCTGCGCGGTCTTTGAAGAGAAAAAAAGTCGGAGACTATTTTATTTTCACTCACCCAATGCGACGATGAAGATTTTTGTTTGAGAATTTTTGGCTAACCGGTGAATAAAATCACTGAAACGGAAAAAGGTGCGAAACCGCAAAATTCGCACCTTTTGTTTTGCCTTCAACAGTCATGTTTACTTGCTTCAATAGACCAAAAAACAAAAACGCGAGGCCTGACAATAGTCTAAGTAAACCCGCCTTTTCACGCACTCTCGACATCGTGCGGTGTCTTCATTCTATTTTTTTATTTTCTTTTCTTTTCTTATGTTAGCAGTGGAACAATTAGTGATTATCAAATCATTAAATCATTTAAACGTGAAAAGGTGCAAAAGACAAAATAGTCTTCTTGCCGATCAACGTAGATCTAGGCGCAATTGGTTAAATAATTATTAAGCCATACACGAAGTAAATTTAAACAGAAGTCATTTTTGAAGAAACATAACGCATAAGGCATATTAAACTGAGATAATGCATAGCAACCGCCCGTTCTCATCGCTTCTAGCTTCTCACCGCCGCTTGCTTGCTAAAACATGAGCTAAATCATAAACTTACACGGATATAATACAACAAGCTGTATTCTAAGTATTAATTATTTTACTTGACGACGACTAAAATAAAAGTGAAATACAGTTAGGCTGAGTAAGGCCGAAACATGCGCGCACGGTATGACAAAAGTTTAGTCAAAGCAGTTGACGTACTCTTGAAATTTACTGACCCACCCCCTGTTGGTTTGTCTTTGATTTCCAAAGTAGGTTACCGTTGGGAAAAAATGTCATCAGTGACAATTTGCCGACTGAATCCGATTTGACTCGAGTATAATTTCGCGAAACCAGACGGAAAAATCCCTAAGGCCAGACAACATTGTCTTAAAAATTTTAAACCATAACAATAGGCAAAGTTTGATAAAATAATAAACTGTGATAATCGTTTCTTGATATCTACTGCAAATAGTGACAGATATACAACTTGCCCTGACACTCAGCCTGATTGTCGGTAAATGTTGTAGTATCCAGTGCCCTGATTCTGACTCTTCGAGCAACGCACATTCAAAACAAAAAATAGCTTTAAATAGCTGCACTCAAATGTACAACGGATATTGAACAGAGAAACATCACTCACTGAAGAATTTATCTAAATATACGTATGTACTGACTACGCCCTTGAACTACCGAGGAAAAATGGTTAAGTTAAACATTTTCAGTTGGCACTCTTCCCCTACATCATGCCTGACTAAAGTATTCTTTATTGGAACACATACATATTGAGGCGGATGCCATAGTTCAAAACCCACATTGTTTGTGATACTTATTCCGTTCTTACTCGCCAGCATGCCAACGTAAACATCGTCCAGTCTGAAGAACGGCAAAGAAGAGAAAGTGTCAACAAATGCACGTACAACATCGTGAGATAAAATGTATCCAAAACCGGGGCAAAAATCTGGATATCTTGTCTCGTTATACTCCTCGTAAGTTACCATCCATTTGCCTTTCCTATGAGGGCCCTTGTTTGCATAACGACGGCCAGCATAAAACATCTTCTTCGGCGTGGTGGGTGCGCTTAAGAAGGAAAGAACTCTTGGAACGTGCACGAAAACGTCGTCATCCAATTTCAAAAGAAACGAAAAATTGCAATACGTTATTGCCCACTCGAAGCCCATTTGTATCTTTCGGGTTTGATTCCAGTAGTGGTCATAATAGCTAGCTCGTACAAGGTCATTAAGAGCTTCAACTTCGTCAAGCAACCCGTTCGAAACTGTTTCATTCCGTGTTTGGGCGACCAGAAAAACTGACGTCCATCTTGGTTTTGCGGATCTTTCGAATGCCCATGTCTTACGAATGTTATTCCTTCTTTCGAAATTACCTGGAGCGGATGAGATAATCATAAGAAGATCGAAATGTTGCATACAAGATCTCCTGGTTATAAGAAATGATTTGTAATTAACTTGCGAAGTAGAAGTTGTCGTGCGATTAATTTTCAGTTCTCGTAATTGCAACCGCTGCACATGGCTTTCGACATCTAGTTGTTCACGAACAATGTCAAAAAAGGAGGAACGAGTACTCCATATAAGACCTAGCTGGAAAGATACAAAAATTGCCATCACAAAAGCTAAAACCGTCAAAACTCTTTTTCCATGAATTCTGATCATTGTATTACGGCAAACCCGATGTAACTGCGTATGCAAATAAAGTCGGTGGCGTGTAAAGTTCCCTACACCTTTATTAATATCTTGAAATAGCGAACATTTCCTTCCAAAAATTTACGTTTCTTGTACTCTAATTCTACATTCGAAGAATTGACAGTCCTGGACATCGAACCATTGATACGATGTATTCTTTTCCTCGTCTAATTCCAACAAAACGTGACAATCTTTACGCGCGCCATTGAACTCATTCCTGTTGTTTAAAAGTCACTCTACGCGTTCCTTCTTTTAATATGTTTTCTTAATCTCTTAGAGGCGGAATTTCAATTAGCGAGTTTGATTTCCAATTGACGAGCCTCTCCCTCTTCTCATTCATTTTTCCTTTACGTTATTTTGGTTTAGAATTTTCAAAGCAGAAAGGCCCGATGCCTGTCACACTCTTATGTGATGTTTACGGTTTGCTGCGGTAGTCCGGACTTTTTAGCCAACGCTCGAGGTCATGCTTTGACTCTCTGTTGTTTACGCTCTTAAAATCGGTTCTGTGGCGAAAGCACTGCCACTGGAGTGTTGTCTGCCGGCCTAACCTCTGTTGTTGCTGTTTAGACCAACTTGGTCAGTGCGTACTTCAAGAGGAGCAAGAGAAAGACGCTCTTCTTTCACGATAGCAGATCTGGTGGATTTTGTGTTCTGTGAATTTACTAACGGATGATTTTACGGATCGACTGTTCAGACGGAATTAAGGCTTCAGTGTGTTCCATATTTACTCACTGCTTGTTTTCCTTACGTTTAATTTCCGCTTGTGCTGCTTTAACAGTATCAACTGAATTGACTTGAATTGAATTTATATGAGTTTATGAATTCTAAACTGACAATATGTAACAACATTAATACTTTCACCAACATCTTTTTACATCAAAAGCGGGGTTTTAGTCAGCCGATTACTGAGCATAATGATGAGGACTCTTTTTTAATAGGTAATAGTAAAACTGAAAGCCTAGAAATTATTTGACCCCTGTAGCAGTGTGACAGTTTCTATTCTACAGTGAAACGGAATAGTTCCGTTGAGTAATCTTTGGTTACATGTATGAGTCAATGTTTAAAGATTGCTTAAAACCCGCTGGAAGAGTTCATTTCTGAAATAAATTGTTCCGTGTCTCTTGCTTCCTCACCCTGTATATGTCTGGGTCAAAGAATATAAAGTCTTGATTGCTCTCAAGTCGGTAAGAGCTAAATCTTACATCACAATTTTGATAGTTTTAGCCTCTAAGAG